AAGAATGTGCAAAAGCCTTTTACTATAGCTCTTCCTTCACTCGACACATGAGGATTCACACTGGAGAAAAGCCCTATGTTTGCAGAGAATGTGGAAAGGCCTTTACCCAACCTGCAAATTTTGTTCGGCATAATAGGATCCACACTGGAGAAAAACCCTTTGAATGCAAGGAATGTGAGAAGGCCTTTTGTGACAACTTTGCCTTAACTCAGCACATGAGAACTCATACGGGAGAGAAACCCTTTGAATGCAGTGAATGTGGAAAGACCTTCAGCCACAGTTCATCCTTTACTCACCATCGGAAGATTCATACCAGAATTTAAAATATATAAGAAGGCCTTTTGTAAGTATGTTCACCTCAGTCAACTTCGGGGAACTCATACTGTTGAATACCCTTCCTTTTGATTATAATTATTGAAGAAAATCTTTTGGCCAGAGAAATATCTTACTCGGTATCTGAGAATTCATACTAAAGAGAAACATCATAATTGTCATTCTCTGAAAGTTTTTTATGGCAGTTCATCACTTGTCATCCAAACAAGTATATTAGAAATCAACCCACTATAGAGGCTTACACTATACCTGAGAATCATCCAAGAGAGAGACCCAGTGAGTATCATGCATTTAAGTAAAATATTAGTAACAACTTTCCTATTTATTTATGTACTATAAGTCTATCTCAAGAGTATTTTAATAAAACAAGGAGAGGTGAGGAAAGAGACTTAGAAGAGAAAGGAGAAATAAACGCATGCATGATTTATTTTCACTTTCCCTATTAAGTTTATGACAATTTGTCATTTGGAGAGGTTGGGGATAGGGTGGGCCTCATCCCCTTTATGTGTTTTTTATATGTACATCTAGAGTCAGGAAAGTTGGACCATTGATGGCACCTCTGCCTACATTTATTAAAGTAATTTTTTTCCAAAACATTGTTGTCTCTACTCTTGAGGTAACATAAGTCTTTGTGCAAAATATAAAGGCTCGAGTCATGAAATACTTAGACATACACACATGCATTTTATTACATGCAGTGAATTGTTATTGATGTTAGTTACGTTCGATGAATTTGCTATGCACACTGAATTAGTGAATACTGAACCATCGTTGCTAGGAGAAATAAGGGTTAGGTTCTGTGAGCCTCTGGTCCAAACATTTTCATCAACCAGTCACTACACAACCATCTTTTATGGGAGTTTTCTTTCTGTTTAAAGATACTTTATCTAATATATATTTCTTTAAAACTTATAATTACTATTCTTTATAAAATATTTTAATTTTAGCATTGCTGTGTAGTGTACTCTGCTATATTGTCACTGTACTGCTTTAACTCTTTCAATTATATACACAGAGTACACATACAGTACTCATATACAGTAAACACTCAGTGCAGTAAACACTTATATACAGTAAACAGTACTATGAACACACAGTCCATGCTGTACAGTACAGTTATGCACGTAAAGATAGCCTAGAAAAAAATCAAAATTCTGTTTTTGATGGATCTACAAGTAATGGGGCAGTACATTATGTGGTTATATTTCTTGAGTTTAGCTTGCCCTAAAAAGACTAAGGGAGAAGTTGGTGGAATTTATTCTGCAGAAGAAGAAGACATTTATGAGGGTGGCATGTCAACATCTGGCAGTTCTACCACAGGAATTTGACTCTCACCACTTGTAGACAGTGTCAGCAATTTTCCCTCCCAAACTGGCAGCTTAAGAGATTGTAACCCTTGTCTGCTTGGCTTTCACCTCAAATCTTTTAAGTGTCCTAGCATAAGGGATGCAACGGAGGTTAAAGATTTAAATTTGAGGCTGCATTCAAGCATAGGGTCACATTCTTTCATGTCACTGAAATTTTTTCCCAGGCAGAATTCCATTCTGATATTTTGGCTGCTGTGGGAGAGGCAATTCTTGGGGTCTCAGGCTGATTTTTATCACCAACCTTATCATCTCTAACTTCGATACCTTGTTTAATCATCTCACCTAGGTCTTTGTTGGTGGGTTCTGGAGCCTTTTCTGCCAGAGTTTCTTCCACATCTTCATGTTGTTGAAGGCTTTTTCACTTATTTGCCATGTGGTATGCATTGTGTGTTTCACACTATTCTTTATATTTTCTGTCACTCTTTTGAAACCTAAACTTTTCAAGCAGTTCAGCTTGTCAATTATTTTTCCAACAATTATTGACAGTGACCTGCTTGATACTATCCCAGGCTGTGACAACACAATCAATTAACATTGCAAATAGTGGCTGACTTTCAGCAGTCCATCATAGTGGTTTCCTTGTTTGTGTTGAGAGCCTCACAGGCCTTGCTATGAAGGTCTCTCATGTTGTATATCTTGAAATCTTCTCAGTATACTTTGGTTGACAGATTGGATGACAGATGTAGTATTTGGGAGCATGAAAAGATGTCTAGGTTGGGGTAGGAATTTTCAGGTTCTTTACAAGAATAAGCTGGAGTATTATCCAAAATTAATAAAAACTTGAAGGCAAGGATTTTACGTTGGAGAGAACATTCAACTTCTTGGATGAAGCAGTTGTGAGACCAATCCCAGGATATTTCTGAAGTCACTCATGCTTTTTTGTCCACTTACAATGGACTGGCATGTGGTTCAGGTTTTTCCCCTTTAAGTTCTCGCAGGTTTCGTACATCATTCATGGTTTGCACTTAAAGTCACCATTGGTATTGATGCACAGTAACAAAGTTGCATGGTCTTTGAGTGATTTAAAGTCAGGGACTTTTGAGGCCATTTGTATGATGTAGGTTCTTTTTTTTTTTTTCAGTAAAACAAGCCAGTCTCATAAAACCTGATTTTTCACACAACTCTTCCTGTATAACACTTAGGTATGTAAATTCTTCTGTAGTCTTCTAATCTACAGAACCTGCATTACCTGCAAGTTTAACATCTTGGGAAAAAACTTGAACAAAAGGAGGCTTCCTGGTCTTGATGGAGCCTTCATAATATCTTTAGCCAAATTTAGTATCTAAATTTGCCAGTATGTCCCTCAATTGGCGAGCTGTAGGAGAACCTTTCTCCCCCTCTTGCCAAGTCAGAGCTGGCCAGAAGTGGAATCTTGGAGCATTCTAGGAGGGCTAGATCTACTACTTAGGGCAAGAAGCCTGGGTGGTCCCTGAAAGAGATAACACAAAGCAGCTCAGAGCAGCATGCAGGGATACCAACAGGACTGTAAACCTTCCTAGATGGTAGGACATCCACTTAGTAAGCTGAGCAGTTGAGGATCATCTTCTAAGTCCCCTCTTACCCATGACTAGACTATCCTGTTCCTGATGCAATTTTTTTTTTTTTTTTTTTTTTTTTTTGGTCTTTCATGAGGTGGTCAGTCAGGTGTAGGCACAAGGGGGGGCATTGGAGAGGCTCAAAAAAAAACCAAAAAAAACCATAGTTTATTATACTTATGGGTCCTAGAGACACAGTCACTACCATGCCATGAGGGAGTCACAGGGAGGTGAGTGCCACGGGAGTGGGCTCAACCAAGCAGGTGGGGAGAGAGATTGGAGACCTATAGGCAAGTGCCTGTATGGGCGTCAGGATGGAGTACATAAGCAAAGGCTTGAGAGAATTTTATTGGTGCATTTGAATGTCACTAGGTCACAGGGGAACCTGTAGCAGGGGCCAGCCTTATCACACTGGTGCACTTGGTTCCCTGGCTGGGTGCTCACAGCCTATTTGGGGGGATGTTTAGGCAGCAGGAAAATACCAAATTTAGTAAAATATACAATTCCATTTTATCTTCTTTTATTGACTTACTAGCTTTATTGAGTTAGTGGCTGATTTAGAGTTTATGGTATGCATCCTGGGTTGGCAAACTTTCTCTAATGGACCAAATAGTAAATATTTTAGTCCAAGAGGCAAAATAAAGGATATTATGCCAGGACATATATAACAAGAAAACAAATTTCCACATATTTTTAATTCTTAAAATTCATAGTATAATAACGTAATATAGGTGTGCCAATGCAATTAATAGAATTCTTTTCGGAGGTCCTATCATTTCACTTAACTGGAGATGAAAGTTAGTGTTTCTTATGTTAAGAAGACACATATTACAGTAAATTAATGGTTTCAAAATTGGTAGGCATACTGGAAAAACAATGGGGACATTTCTGGACTATGGATTTCAAGGTAAACTTCCATAACTGATCCAGGGATGGAGAAGTGACTACTGCCATTACCAATGATTCTGCCAGTAGTAATACCTGAAACTCAAAGACACAGAACCTGAAACTAGACACTGGAATATGGAGTTCAGCTTGCAAGAAAGTATGAGAGAACTAGACTGTCTGCCTTACCTTCAAGACCTAGCACACACCACACAAACACACACACATTCAGGCACATATGCACACAGCTACATAAGGAGTCTTCATCAGAGAACTGGTACTCATTGTTTAGGATTCAGATTAAAAACCATGTCAACAACTAAGCTTGCTTTGTTCTCTCAGTATGGTTTTTCTTGGTTATGGCCTCACAGCACTTGTAAAGATTATTTCATATTTATTTGCTTTCTCTCATCAGATATAATCTCTGTCAGAAAAAAGTCACATTGGTTTTATTAATTATTACAATGGTTATCAAATTGTTTTCTGGATAAACAGCATTAGTGTCACCTGAGAACATGTGAAAAATGCATTCTTGGCTTTACCTCAAACAAACTCAAACAGAAACTCTGGGGTTGGGGCTTAGCAGTCGGTATCTTAACAAGCCCTCCTAGCGATTCCAACATACCACTATAGATGACAACTACTAGATTATTATATCCCAGCATTGTGTAATACACGAGTGATGCTCCATACATTTTCTTGAAATGTGTTTAATTAAGCCCGCTGGAAACAGACTCTGAATTGTCCTCACAAGAAAAATGGCACAAAGACCAGGCTAGGTTTGCTAGTCTCCCAGTAAAGGCTATATGGTAATGCTGATCTTAATTTTTCAAGAATTAATGACAATTTTTACAAGAAAGAATCACAATGAAAGAGTTCATTATATACAAAATGATTTTATTTAGAAACCAAAAATTTATTAACATCATTTTACATCTTTTGCAGCTTTAATTTTCAACATTATAAGACTGACTAGATCCTCTGGATGACTACATACCTTCACATGCCCATTAGCTAAAAATAATTTCTATGTAGGACTAGAGTAAAATTGCAAGCTACTGTTATAAGGAATGCATATTTATTTATAATATGCTTGCTTGCTCTTCTATAGAACTACTTATACAAATAGCACCACTGCAAGATTTACACATAATTCCTGTATCCTTCAGGTTGTTCTACCAATAATCTTCTGATGTCTGGCAAAGTAAGAACTCTTAATGAACACTCTGTTACATTTCTTACTGCAGATTTCTCTGCAATTTGAATTATTTGATATAGAATAAGGGATTTACTTGGAACTGAAGAACTTCCCACAATTTCTAATTTTTCTATATTCATACAGCTTCTTTCCTGTAGTAGTTTGTGAGAGATTCCTATTGCCTACAGTCTTTCCCGTATTTGCTCCATGCACAGGGGTTGTTGGGTTTCTTTCTAGTGTGAATATTCTTATGTCAATTAAGGGATAATACTGACAAAGGCTCACCAACATTTATTGTCTTCATATGGTTATTCTAGAGTAGGAACTCTGATAGCCAAAAAGGTTTGCATCAATGCTAAAGATCTTCCCATATTCACCACATTCCTAAGACTTTTCTATAGTATAAATTTTCTGATGTTGAATAAGGGAGGAACTATGGCTCAAGTTTATTATGAAAAATACTGCTTCATATAGTTTCTCTCCTGTATGCTTTCTCACATGTATAGTGATTCATATGGACCAAAGACTTTTCCACACTTACTGCACTACTGGGTTTCTCTACATTATGTATTCTTTGATGGGCAGTAAGATTTGAGCCTTTGCTAAAAGCTTTCCCACATTCATTACATTTATATGGCTTTTCTCCAGTATGAATTCTCTGATGTACAGTAAGGTTTGAACTACAGCTGAATGTCTTCCCACATTTAACACATTCATAAGGTTTCTCTCCAGTATGAATTCTGTGATGTTGAAGCAAGGATGACCTGTGACTGAAGGCTTTCCCACATATACTACATTCATAAGGTTTTAATCTAATGTGATTTCTCAAATGCATATTCAGTGATTCAGGCTGGTTGAAGGATTTCCTGCATTTCTGACATTCAAAGGGTTTTTCTTCAGTATGAATACTCTGATGTTGAATAAGAAATGAGAGGCTACTAAAGACTTTCAGACATTTGTTACATTCATATTGTTTCTCTATAGTGTGAATTCTTTGATGTCGAGTAAGGTGTGAGCTACAGCAAAAAGCTTTCCCACATTCACTACATTCATAAGGTTTCTCCCCAGTATGAATTTTCTGATGGTGAATGAGAGATGACCTATGAATGAAAGCCTTCCCACATATACGACACTCATAGAGTTTTTCTTGAGTATGAATTCTTAGATGTTCAATGAGATGTGAAACACGACTAAAAGACTTTCCACAGTTCATACATTCATAGGGTTTCTCCCCAGTGTGAGTGCTTTGATGATTAGTAAGTGATGAAACATGGCTAAATGCCTTCCCACATTCAAAACATTTGTATGGTTTCTCTCCACTATGGCTTATCTGATGTCGAGTAAGGGATGAGCCATGGCTAAAAGTCTTCCCACATTCACGACATTTATACGGTTTCTCTCCTGTATGAATTCTCCAGTGGCGATTAAGGATTGATTGTTTGCCAAAGGCCTTCCCACATTCACTGCATGCATAGATTTTCTCTCTATTGTAAGTCTGGTGAAGGGCAAGAGATTTGTTCTGGCTGAAGGCTGCCCCACTTTCATCAGAATTCAAAAGTTTCTTCTCGCCATTGATTTTATCATTTTTTATAACTGACTTTTTTGGTAAGCTCTTCTTCAATACATCATATTTACATGATTTCCCTTCAGAAATTCTCTGTGGTTCAGAAACAGTAGACTTTAAATGGAAGATGCTTCTAAATGTGTTGTATTTGTAAACACTTTCCCCAGTGGAGCTTTCCCTAAAGGTGAGGGTCACAGGTCTGAAATGTTCTTCTTGACTTCCATGCTTCTCCTCCAACTTCTCTATGTATTCTGAATCCTTATTAAAATTTAGAAATTCATAACTTTGCTTTACAGTTTTTTCTGTTATCACTGTTTGAGGTGAATCTTCATCATAAATGTCCTTTATTGATAATTCCTTGTTTTCCCATCTTGATTCCCAATCTGAAATATATCAAGACAGCATAGTACTGATTTTGTTTTTGTTTTTTTTTACTTCTTGAAAAGAAACTTCTATGGTGGAAATAAAATTGGATAAGAAGTAAGCCCCCAGAAAGCACATGGCTCTGACAACCCTTATATTCCAATGATTATTGAACAATGTTCAAGCAGAGCACAGAGACAGGAACAGAGCATGATAAGGGAAATGGGTAAAATATAGACAATCGTGTGAAAAAAATGAAGCTATCAGAAAGAAAATATGGAAGGCATTGTGAATTCTAAGCCATTATTTTGTGCCTATACTCATGTGAAAGACATTTTGTCCCACAGTCCTCTTCTCCAACCTTCAATTAATCTCAATTTGCTATCAGATCAACGTGCTTAAAATGCAGAATTGATACTACTACTTTAAACAGTTACGATAACTAAAAATCTAAATGCTCATTATGGCTTAGAAAGATTTAGCTTTCTGCGTTTATGTAGATCAGTGTGAAATTTTATGGTCATTCACTGGACATTAGAAAATATTTCTAGAATTAGTCCAATACGTTCCTTATTTCCTGTAACTTACGTTCATATTTCATCTATTAAACTTAGCTTTAGAGAAAGTGATTTTTCCATCTAATTGACAGCTTTTCTGAGCCTAAAACCATCAGTATGTTTTTCCTTTAGTAGACTTCAGAAAAAATAATTTGCCTTATTTTGTCTTGAATAAAGTAAAATTTAAATTATTATGATTCCAACTTTGATTAGATGACATAAGAAATACAATAATTTGTTATTTTTTTCTTTTCTTTTTTTACACATAGCACACCAGAATAGCAAATAATAATTTGAGATGAAGGAATGATTGTTTTGAAATCTAAGCTAAATATCCCTTAATTTTTTTTTGTTGTTGTTTTTTTTTTTTTTTGAGACAGAGTCTCGGTTTGTTGTCCAGGCTAGAGTGAGTGCCGTGGCGTCAGCCTAGCTCACAGCAACCTCAAACTCCTGGGCTCAAGCGATCCTTCTGCCTCAGCCTCCCGAGTAGCTGGGACCTGCTACAGGCATGCGCCACCATGCCCGGCTCATTTTTTATATATATATCAGTTGGCCAATTAATTTCTTTCTATTTATAGCTCTTGCTCAGGCTGGTTTTGAACTCCTGACCTTGAGCAATCCGCCGGCCTCGGCCTCCCAAGAGCTAGGATTACAGGCGTGAGCCACCGCGCCCGGCCTTCTTAATTTTGTTTATATTTGGGATCTCTGAAGACAGTATCCCTAAAATGCCTCTATATTCACTACAAGCATCTTTAACAAAGACCTCCTTTGCCTGATTCACCATAACTCACCTGCAAACATACCTTTTGACAGTTTTTTCTCCACTATCCAGGGCTCTTTTCCATCCTCCAATAAAGTGATCACATACGGCTTAGTAATGGAAAGACCTGCTTATGGGAAGAATATAGAACTTGTTTAGGTTGAGGTCCTCAAGGATGAGAGGCCATCACAAGAGGGACCAAAGTAAGGGTTGAAGGATGTTCACTGAAATTGAACGATAAGCTTCAGGGAGGGCACAAAAGAGCTGTACATTTCCTTAGGAACCCAGTATAGAAATTCAGCCATTTACTTAGGAGGATCTCCAGAAATTCAGAGGGGCAAAATAAAGGAGCAGAAGGGCAGGCATCCTTACCTAGAGAGACCAGGTTCTCATAATTCTGGACCATCACTTCCTTGTATAAATCCCTCTGTGCAGAATCTAGCCATCTCCATTCTTCATGAGAGAAGTCTATAGCCACATCGCTAAATGTCACCTGAAACAACAAATATATGTAAGCTCAATCATAGCCCAGGCCTTTGTCATTGTACAACCAGTAAAATTACTCTGGAAGAAATGGGACAATTTTCAGGAGTTGTGACAATGATCAGGAATTGGATCTCAGATAACAACTGGATAATTATGTGCTTGGCATTGTTATATAATACAGACAAGAGACAAATATTAATATAAGAGCTTTGCTTCAGAAGAGTTGATTTTGTCAAAGGGACAAAATTGTATAGAATTATACAATTTTTAAAAAATCAGCATTCAACATTTGACAGCATATAGTCAAGTATTTAGTTATGTCTTTTATAACTGTAAGTGCTAGGTAAGTAATAAAAAAATGAGGCTAAGCCGGGCACAGTAGCTCACGCCCATAATCCTAGCACTCTGGAAGGCCGAGGCAGGAGGATCACTCAAGATCAAGAGTTTAAAACCAGCCTGAGCAAGAGTGAGACCCTGTCTCTACTAAAAATAGAAAGAAATTAATTGGCCAACTAAAAATATATAGAAAAAATTAGCCAAATATGGTGGTACATGTCTGTAGTCCAGCTACTCGGGAGGCTGAGGCAGGAGGATGGCTTGCGCCCAGGAGTTTGAGGTTGCTGTGAGCTAGGCTGAAGCCATGGCACTCTAGCCTGGGCAACAGAGTGAGATTCTGTCTCAAAAAAAAAAAAAAAAAAAAAAACTACATGAACCTGAAAGGACAGGGAAAGGTTTTACACTTACAGGTTTTCTCAGGGAAATACTTTAAGAAAATAGGGTTGGGGGATTCTTTCCCTTTTGGCACCAGGGATAATTCTGTTTTTTAAACCTGTATTTAAACTTATCCAACCATTAGGGTTATGCAAGCCTGATCAAAGGACCTGAAAATTTTTTTATCTTTTCCTACCTTCCACAATGACTTTTAAAGATTAGATTTTACAAATCTTACTTGATAAACCAAATGAAAAATTCAGTGCTATAAAAATACATAAAACACCATATTTTATTCTGTAAATGCAAAGATATTTCTTATTTTGTTTTGAACACATATTAATGAATGTCACTGTATTAATGGCTTAAATTTCATCAATACTCTTTTTATTTAGAGCAAGGTTTCTCAACCTTCACACTATTGACATTTTGACCTGGAAAATTCTTTGTTGCTGGGAGCTGTCCTGTGCACTGTAGGATGTTGAGCAGCATCTCTGGCCTCTACCTACTAGATGCCAGAAACAGCATCCCACCCTTACCACGACTGTAACAACCAAAAACCCAAAATGCCTCTAGACATTACCAAATGTCCCAGTTGGTAGGGTCAAAGCTGACAAAATTGCCTCTGTTTGAGAACTACCACTTTAGAAAATTTGTGTAGTTCCTTGAAAGATCCTTTTAGGCCTCTCTACCTATGCACAAGGTGTTTCCTCAGTTCCATATAACTTCATTTCCACCTCTTCCTCTCTGGTCCTGCTGGACACCCAAACCCACCTCCAGCCTTATTTCCCCAGGAATGCTTCTTTCTTCTCCTTCAATTGCCTGGGCAGACTATGGTGCTCACTGGTCTTTGTCCCCAAAAGAACTCAGAATATCTGTCCTAGTACTTACTTTATTTCTTATGCTTTCTTACTTTTCTGCCAGTCCTGCACTACTCAATACAAATTAGCCACTAGCTAATTTGGCTATATAAATTTAAATTAATTAAAATGTAAAATGATACAATTAAATAAAATTGAATATTCAATTCGTTGGTTGCTCTAGCCATAGGTCGAGTACTCACTAGTCACGTGGGGCTGGTGGCTACTATATTGGCTACGTATAAAACATTTCCACCAAAGTAGAAAGTTCTCTTAGACAATACCACACTAAATCATGAAGTCCTGTGTGTCAGTGTACACCCAAATCCATGAATATTTCTTCCTATTAGTAGAGGAATCAATGAGTGATTTTGGCATTAGTTCATTTTGGCTTTTACTTTTTAAAAACATAGTTTTTTGAATTCTACTTATCTAATTTTCCCAAGAAAATAGACTCTGCCCAACATGCACATCTGCTACTCATGTCCTCTCTTGTGCAGGCCTCACTTTTTAGCCCATGGTTCTGCTCCATCATTTTTTCACCATTCATTTTATTCACTCAACAGTTATTTACTAGGCATCTGTTTTGTACCAGGTACCACGCTGGGTACCGAAGATATAACAGTCAACAAAAAAAGAAAATATATTCCTCCCACCAGGAGGAGACAGACAATGAGCACATGCATATACTAAACAGAGTACATCAGATAGTGAGTGGTAAGTGCTATGCAGAATAACAACACAGTGATGGAAGAGTGGAAGTAACAGGCAAGGGAAGGTGACTGTAATTTTAAATAGGTGTTGAGGGAAGACCTGGGGAGAAAGTAACCACAGAGCAAAGTTGTGAAGGAGGTAGGAATGACAGGAATTTATATAACAACAGGATTACTGTGACAGCTCTACTGAGAACAGACTGAAGTGTGTCAGGGGCAGATGCTGGGAATCCAGCTAGGAGGCTACTGCAATGATCCAGGTGGCCTAGAGTGGGGTGGCAGTGGTGGTGGCAGTGATAGGGAAAGTAATGGTCAGATTCTGTACATGTTCTGTATATATTTCAGATCTACTGGCTGGGCACAGTGGCTCATGCCTGTAATCCTAGCACACTCTGGGAGGCCAAGGCAGGCGGACTGCTTGAGGTCAGGAGTTCGAAACCAGCCTGAGCAAGAGTGAGACCCCGTCTCTACTATAAATAGAAATAAATTAATTGGCCAACTAATATATATACAAAAAAATTAGCCGGGCATGGTGGCGCATGCCTGTAGTCCCAGCTACTCGGGAGGCTGAGGCAGCAGGATCGTTTGAGCCCAGGAGTTTGAGGTTGCTGTGAGCTAGGCTGATGCCACGGCACACACTCTAGCCTGGGCAACAAAGTGAGACTCTGTCTCAAAAAAAATAAAATTAAAAAAAAAAGAAAGAAAAAAAAAATCTATTGATAACGTTGAGTATCTGAATGTGAGTTTAAAGTGACAGGGAAGAATCAAGGACAACTCCAAACATCTCTCTACTTGAGCAACTGGAAGGATTGAGACCACACGATAACAGCTTTTACAACCATAAAGCAAATAACCTAAAATTCCAAACTTGCACTTTGGGCTGTAATAAAAAAATTTTGGCTCAAGACTCTAGAAAGCCTTCTAGCAGAAAACTACAGAAAAGAGGAGCACTGAGTGAGGACAGTACTTTGGGGCTTTCCTGTGGGCTCCATCCTTTCCTATAATGAAAGGAACCATAGATCCAGTCCCATTTAGGATTTTCTTAGGTGGGAAGAGACAGGAGAAGCAAAGCAAACTCAAAGAATCCTTATAAGAAAGCGTTTCAGGAAGATCTGGGGACAAGCCGACTTACCTGAGACATTACTTTGCGATTTCCAATAGTCAACACAGTCCTCTCTCCAAGCTCTTGTTTTATAGATTGGCAGTGTCCTGAGAAAGCATAGTAAGGACAAAAAAAAGCAGCCATGAAAAATCTAGCTTATCTTGCAGCTCTGTGACACACCATAATGGAAAAGCACACTAGTAATCTGGGTTCCAACCCTTCCCTTTCAATCGACAGGGTGTATCTTGGCACGCAGCAACTAACTGTTTACCAGGTGCCACCCGCAAGGAAAATCAACTCTTCTGTGCATGAAAGACAGACTCACAAAACAACAGTAATAATTTTAAACATCAGCTTGTTCACTCTTCACCACTATGTGTGGTAGGCATTCACATTATCCCAGATTACTTTTTTCTTTTTTTGAGACAGAGTCTCAGTCTGTTGCCCGGGCTAGAGTGAGTGCCGTGGCGTCAGCCCGGCTCACAGCAACCTCAAACTCCTGGGCTCAAGCGATCCTCCTGCCTCAGCCTCCCAAATAGCTTGGACTAGAGGCACGCGCCACCATGCCCGGCTAATTTTTTTTCCTATGTATTTTTAGTTGGCCAATTAATTTCTTTCTATTTTTAGTAGAGACAGGCCTCTCGCTCTTGCTCAGGCTGGTTTTCGAACTCCTGACCTTGAGCAATCCTCCGGACTCGGCCTCCCAGAGTGCTAGGGTTACAGGCCTGAGCCACCTCGGCCGGCCCTCAGATTACTGTTTAAAATGATGACAAAACTGGAATTCGGAGACACTGAAACCATTTGTGCAACGCTGGGTCCGCTTCGCGGCTAGAAGGCAAAAACGTCCGCACGCGGCGTTTGCTCTGGGCAACAACGACGCACACTGGCCCGCTCCGCTCTCACAGCGGCTCTGAGGGGGAGCGCGTCCTTGCTCCTCCCTCGCGGAGCGGGACGCGGAGGCCCAGAGGAGCCCAGGCCGGGGCCCGCGGCCGCCCCCGGGGCCCCTCACCCGGCGGCCCTCCCCGGCGCAGAGGCCGGGCGTCCCGGGACGGCTCCTCCGCGTACCTGACGCGCTGGGCGCCCGCCGGCTGCCGCCCTCCCGGAACTACACTGCGCGGAGTCCCCCTGGAGCGCAGGAGCCCGCCCAGGCCCGAGGCGCCGGCGACACGAGCCACGAGCGACGGCCGCGCCGCAGCGACATTCCCCAGACGCCTCCGCCTCCGGGGCCGAAGTTAACGGGCACCGGGAACGGTCGCCTCAGAAAGGCCACGCTTCCCAGGAGTCTCCGCGGCTGCGTGCACTCGGCGCCCAGCGAGAGACACGGCCCCGGCTTTCTAGAACTTCATACCCGCTGCAGCTGCGGTGGGGCGGGGAAGGGGAGCGTCGAGAGTGCACGGTCGTCTTCCGGTGAGCTATACGTCCCAGGACCAAGGGCAGCCCGCTATTTGCACTGTGAGAAAAACTGGCGCCCTGGCCGCAAAACTACACTTCCCAGAAGACTGTGCGGGCTGCAACAAGGTCTTCCGGGTCATCCGTGAGCGCACGGATTCGTGCTCCTCCCGGGACGTGGGCAGCCTTGCTGGTATCGTGCCGTGCAAAAGCTGGCCTTTGCAAGGGAGGGTGTGCTCTCATCCCAACCCTGTCACCACGCTATGCCCGGTGGCTGGACTGGCACAACTATAGTACGCCAAGCAGGGACTTTTCCTGGAAACTCATGCGGACACGTCCTATCTGTGACACTGACGGCCGTTCTGATGTGTGTTACACCCTCGAAGGACTTGAAAATACTGAACTCGAGGGAGCGCTTTGAGAACAATGAACCTCATCCTGTCAATCTACTAGGTGTGAAATTGTGATTCTTTTGTGGCTTAAATTTGCATTTTTAAGTTTATTAATGAGATTGGGAATCTTTTCATGTCTGTTAGCCTTAGTATTTCTTTGAGAATCGCACATCTTTTGGAAATTGTTCTTTCAGGTTAATGTCCATTTGAATGTTAAAATACAAGTGACATAGAAAAAATTTGAGATTGTAAGGAGAGAGTGCAGAGGCTAGGATATTAGGAATTGCTCCTCGCCTCAAGAATCCTGGGCTCACTACTGAATTCAGTAACAATAAATTTTCTGCAATTTTGCATGTTTCTGGGTATGAAATTCTTAAATTTTTTTCTGCTTTGGATTTGTTGAACAACTTGGATCTGTGAAGTGTCATCTTTCTGTGCTCAGCAAACTCTTTCTCTTTCATGTTATATATACCTCTTCCCCATTCGTTCTCTCCCTTGTGAGAGAACTAGCTAATCATAAAGTGTTTGCTCTTCCCTGCCTTGCCTTTCCCACGGAAATCCCAATAAGGACCATGGCCTATGCCTTCCCCTTGCTCCTTTCTGGCTCCTGACCAACACCAGTGCTCTCCACGTGGCTCTGTGCAGCATGGTCTGCCCCTTCTCTTGGGAAATATAATAAATCCTTCTTTGTATGGCACTCGCCTGTGTCATCACTCAGTGCCATAAGTTATAATAAAATCACCCACGTAGAACTGAGACACTGGGCCTTTTACTCCTAGGTATTAACCCAAGAGAAAGACTAGTATTAATATATGAATGTTCATGCAATGTGGAGGAATATTGAAATAATTATGCTGCATGAAACAAAAGCAAAAAAGAGTAAACCTTTTATTCCATTTATATGAAATTCTATAAAAGGAAAAGGAGTTTATAGTGAAGGACAGCAAATCAATAGGAATGGGTAGCCAGAGACATAGAGAAAGAGGGATTTTAAAGGAGAGCAACTTTGGGGATGTTCATTATTGTGATTACGGTGATGATTTCATGGGTATATATTAATACACTAGGTAAGCCGGGCGTAGTGGCTCACACCTGTAATCCTAGCACTCTGGGAGGCCGAGGCGGGTGGATTGCTCAAGGTCAGGAGTTCAAAAGCAGCCTGAGCAAGACCCCGTCTCCACTAAAAATAGGAAGAAATTAATTGGCCAACTAATATATATAGAAAAAATTAGCCAGGCAAGGTGGCACATGCCTGTAATCCCAGCTACTTGGGAGGCTGAGGCAGTAGATCGCTTGAGCCCAGGAGATTGAGGTTGCTGTGAGTTAGGCTGATGCCACCGCACTCACTCTAGCCTGGGAAACAAAAGTGCGACTCTGTCTCAAAAAAATAAATAAATAAATACACTAGGTAAAACATCACATCTTACATCTTAAATATGTACAGCTTACCACACATCAATTATACCCCAATAGATATAGAGAGCTTTAAAAAATGGTTCCACATAAAAATCTGGATCTCCTGCTTCTAGTGAAAAGCTAGTCATTTTGGCAAACATATACTGAATCTATCATAACTATCCTCATCCTTTGAAAAGGAAAGCCCTCCTTCAATGGAAGCAAAGACCAGCAAGCAATAAAGGTTCTTTGTGAGTGATAAAAGTCTCATGCCTAGACTAGGATAATCTCTATCCTGTCTTCATTTTCTTGCTTGTATAAAAATGGCCTTGAAGCAAGCAGCCCAAATAGCCTCAGCAATCCAGAAAACATTTATTTGTTCTGCCAGTGACTTTGTCCATAGGAGTGGCTAAATCTAGAAGTCCTGAGAATATCTGTATACCCTCATCCCTCACAGCTGTAATGACCAGAATATTTCCGGAAGCATGTTTAGATTGGGAACACATCCTCTAGTTTGCTGCCTCCAACTCTGTTAACCACAGCCAGTGTGTGAATGTAATTACGGTGGACTTCAACGGCTTCAGACCACTCATGATTTTCTCCAGGAAGGGGATACAGTACAGAGATCTGTCTTCACTGAGCACATTGGGTAACCTGATACACACTTGCTGGCTGGCAAAGGTGAAATGGTTTTTGCCACAGGTACTGACAGTGATATAACACAGATAAGGACCCTGGGCAGGTAAGAAAGTGCAATGCAGCTCCTGAAAGCTCCCCACCTACCTGACACAAGGAATCTCTCCAGTATGCAAGACCAGATGTGAGATTCAACTTTTGCCTGATGGCTACATCACAAAGCCTACTCTCAGAGCTTCTCTCTGGTGTCACTCATTATGTTTGTTGACCAGGGAAATAACACACTCCCTGTACTCTAAGTCCTTTCTCCAGGGTGAACTTTCTGGTACTAAATGGGAGAAGGCCATTGGCTGAAGGCTTCTCTCCAATATGATTTCTTTGATGTTTAATGAGGCTGGATTTGTGGCTAAAGAATTTCCTACATTCGCTGCACTCATAAGGCCTTTCTCCAGTATGGACTCTCTGGTGTTGAACAAGCGTAGATTTAAGGCTGAAGGCTTTCCCACATTCACTGCACTCATAAGGCCTTTCACCAGTGTGGACTCTCTGGTGTAAAATGAGGCTGGATCTTTGGCTAAAAGATTTCCCACACTGAGTGCATTTATACGGCCTTTCACCAGTGTGAACTCTCTTATGTGCAATAAGGCCAGAGCTTTGGCTAAAGTACTTCCCGCATTCAGTGCAGTTATAAGGCCTTTCTCCAGTGTGGATTCTCTGATGCCGGACAAGTGTGATTCTGCGGCTAAAGAATTTCCCACATTCGCTGCACTTATAAGGCTTTGCCCCAGTGTGAATTCTCTGGTGTTCAATAAGGCCAGAGCTTTGTCTAAAGGTTTTCCCACATTCACTGCATTCATAAGGCCTTTCTCTAGTGTGGCTTTTCTTGTGCTGAACAAGTCTGCATTTCTGACTGAATGCTTTGCCACATTCAGTACACTCATGAAGCCTTTCTCCAGTGTGAATTCTCTGGTGTTGGACAAGTCTGTGTTTGTAGGTGAAGGCTTTCCCACATTCGCTGCATTCATAAGGCCTTGCTGAGATATGAACTCTACGGTGTATTGTAAGGTTGGAGTAATGGTTAAATAATTTCCCACAGTCACTGCATTCATAAGGCCTTGCTCCACTGTGAACTCTCTGGTGTACAATAAGGCTAGAGTTATGACTAAACAGTTTTCCACATTCACTGCATTTGTAAGGTCTTTCTCCAGTATGGACTCTCTGATGCTGAACAAGAGTGTGTTTGCTGCTGTAGGCTTTCCCACATTTGCTGCACTCATAAGGCCTTTCTCCAGTGTGAAGCTTTTTATGCCGAACAAGGTGGGTGCTTTTGCTGTAGGCTTTTCCACATTCACTGCACACATAAGGCGTTATACCCATGTGAACTCTCTGGTGTACAACAAGGTTAGATTTACGGCTAAAGAATTTTCCACATTCATGGCACTCATAAGGTCTTTCTCCACTGTGGACTCTCTGGTGCTCATAAAACCTGCTTTTGTGTCTGTAGGCTTTCCCACATTCACTGCATGTGTAATATCCTTCTGCAATGGGGAAGGCCTCTTTGCACTGAGTATTTCTGGGTGAGTTCTCCTTGCTGTAAATGGTCTGTTGCTGGAGAAGGGCTGAGCTGGGCAGGAGGTCCTTCCCACTGTCACCACATGCGAAGGGATTCTCTGACATGTGGACTCTGCAGTTTTTACCAAACAAAGCCCTATCTTCATCCCTTCTGAAGTAGTTCTCTCCAGTGTGCTGCTTCTGATGCTGGAGGATGTTTGTGCTAAACCAGAATTGTCTTCCATGTGTTCCATACATGTGCGATTTGTGCCTGGGGTGTATTCCCTGATGCTCATCCAGGAGCAAAACATCTTTCATGACTGGGCTCCAAATCCCACAAGGGTTGTAGGCTTTTTGGGTGGCCGGACCTGCCTTGGGAGCCCTGACCTGTGACACTCCTTGAGAAGGTGCCTCCTCATTCTCCATTTGAAACCAACAACCTGAAAGCAGAGAAATGTTGTTGAAGTGTATGTACACTTCGGTAGGAGGGGCAGCCCCAACACAATGTATATCTTACAAATCCAGGAATAAGTACATGAAACTCTTGGGATGAAAAAGGAGCTGATGTTAGGGTGAGAGAGTCTGCTGTACTGAGCCTGGCAACATCATACCATGGGGAAGTCCCCTGTGGGGCAAGCATACAGTGACGGGACACAGCACAGGCAGGAGAGGCAGCATCTCCAACTCACTTCTCTACAAACAGCTTTCAGCTGGGGCTTGTCTGCTGGTGACTCATGAGCACTGAATAGAAAGGAATGTCCAGATTCAGGAAAACCAACTACAACCAAGTAGCTATTCAAGGACTACTTAGGCTATGTGCACATCTCACAACACATTAAGTGTAGCTCAGGGACAGAGAACACTGCAGAGAGAGCTGTGGAGAGGAATGGGTGAGACTTGAATGCCAGAGAGGTGGGGGCCAGTACCGGCTAGAAGTGAGAGTAGAAATGACAAGTGGGCAAAATGTCAAAAATGAGGCTGAAATACAGAAATGAGTTAAGGCCTCTGTCCTTGGTACAAAAACAATCATGAGCACTGGAAAGGTCCCTGGCATCATGAGAATTCGGCCCTTACTTCGAGCCATTCCTCATTTCCCACCTACCAGATCCAGTATCCCTCTGGTGTTCTCTTGCCATAGCTGGCGTCATGTCTACCTGAATTCGGGAGGACACAAGTCCTAAGGGAAAGGGCAAAACAGGTAAGTGGACAGCAGGTGCACAGAGTAACCCACCCCATGACAGACCTCAAGAAAGAAAACTAGTATAACAAAAAGAGCCTCAGAGAATGTCGTATAGGAACAGCCCAGTGGTCCCTGCAAGCAGTAACCATGTGACGCCTGCAATTCCTGGCACTGTGAGGCACCAGGAAATGCCAGCTGCAGGGAAAAGGGCAAGATTGGGGGCAGAGAGCAACACTGATCCTGAACAGTCACTCTGCCAGGTTAGGCCAAGCCTGGTAGGATTCACTGGGTTCACTGCAAGACGCCTGGTCCCCTTATTCTCCCCTGCAAGGCTCCAGGGTACCAGGTGGTAGGGCTGCCTGGGGAGACAATGTCCTCAGCCCAGCCCTAGTACCTTCATAAGAAAAGCTAGGAACAGAGCAATGTCCACAGCCAGGCTATGGTGAGGAAAGAGCCCAGCCAGGATGCTGGGTGAGTGTGAGGGACTTACCCAGGGAGGCCACAAGGGCAAAGTTCTCCAGCATCACATCGCGGTACAGGAGTCTCTGAGTCTCATCAAGAAGCTTCCACTCCTCCCATGAAAAGTCCACAGCCACATCCTCAAAGGTCACACTGACCTACCATGATAAGTAAAGCAGTGTCCCTGAGCAGCCTCTCTCCCCAGAACCCTCGGTCTATCCCTTGTCTCCCAAAATATGCCCCCTCTTCTCCCCGTCCTCTCCAGGTCACCTCACAGGAGATACCAGGCCAAATGCAGCTGCCTCCCTCTCCCTCCTCGTGGTCCTACTGATCACCACATTGGCCCACATCAACTACAGGCATGCGTGCAAATAAATGCCATCTAAGCTCTGGGCCTGGCACAAAGGGCCCTACCCCTTCTCCTGCCAGCAAGTCCCTTGGTCATGCCTCCCAGACCAGTGCCTCCCAACACAAGCCAACAGGCTTGGCTTTCTCCCTTAAGCTCCTAGGACCAAGTCCCTGGGACCACCACTTCACACTCTCTCCCTTGAGCACATCACCCTGTGGGCCATCCCTCCCTCACATTTCTGACCTCCCACTGTCACCACCAACACCTGGCCCACACCACAGATATCTGACATCTCCACATTCCACTCTGCATGTGGCATCCAGACAGTGCTTGGGAAATGCAACCATGACTCCATCCTGCCTTAGACCTCTGACAGCCCACAAAGCCAGGGAGCCCCAGTCCTGTTTTTTGTTGTTGGGTTTGTTTTTGTTTTCTGAGATAAAGTCTTGCTCTGTGGCTCAGGTTAGAATGCAGTGGTGTCATCGTAGCTCACTGCAACCTCCAACTTCTAGGCTTAAGTGATTCTCCTGCCTCAGCCTCCTGAGTAGCTGGGACTAAGGGCATGTGCCACCATGTCTGATAATTTTTCTATTTTCTTGTAGAGATGGGGTCTCGCTCTTGATCAAGCTAGTCTTGAACTCCTGACCCCAAGCTATCCTCTTGCTTAAGCCTACCAGAGTGCTAGGATAACAGGCATAAGCCACTGCACCCAGCCCCCAGTCCTGTTTTATTTTTTTTTTTATTTTTTTTTTTTTTGAGACAGAGTCTCGCTTTGTTGTCCAGGCTAGAGTGAGTGCCAAACTCCTGGGCTCGAGTGATCCTTCTGCCTCAGCCTCCCGGGTAGCTGGGACTACAGGCATGTGCCACCATGCCCGGCTAATTTTTTATATATATATCAGTTGGCCAATTAATTTCTTTCTATTTATAGTAGAGACGGGGTCTCACTCTTGCTCAGGCTGGTTTCGAACTCCTGACCTTGAGCAATCCGCCCGCCTCGGCCTCCCAAGAGCTAGGATTACAGGCGTGAGCCACAGCGCCCGGCCACCCAGTCCTGTTTTAAAGAGCTCTCCACTTTGCCCTGCTCCTTGCTTCTATTTTAGCCACTCAGAACCATGTGCAGATGTCAGATACCTTAGCCCTTTTCTACTGCTGGGTTAGACATGCTGTTCTGTTACCCATCTCAGCCATCCTCTTCCCATCAAAGCCTCATTCGATGCCGGCCCCACTGGTCCCCTGGCCTTCACTGACTTTCCTATTTGCCCGTGAGCTTATCCACCAGCCTGAGGCAGCTCTCCAGGCCCCATCAGGAGTCACCACAAAAGCCTGGTGAGCCTCCAGAGGGGAGAATAAATGCAGGCTCTGGCCTCACTGTCACTTCACCTCCATTGCTGCTAAGCTTCCACATCCATCTTATGCCCATTCGTCCTTGGAAGCCTTGGAATGGAAGCCACCTCACCACCACAGCCACCACTCTCTTTGTGACACACATCAATCCCATTCGGGTGCCCAAGAGAGAGAAGACCAGTCCTCCAATCTGATCCTCCTTTTCCTTGCTCCCAGTAACTCTTATTCTCAGTCTTGCAGGAATGGATTTATTTCCGCAAGAGCAGGTTGTTATAAGGTAAGAAGCCCCTTTGTGTTGGCCCCTTCGCACATGCCTATCTCCCTGTCACCTTCCACCATGTTATGATGCAGCAGGAAGGACCTTGCCAGAAGCCAGTGCTGTGTCCTTGAACTTCCCAGCCGGTAGAACTATGAGCTAAATAAACTTCTTTTCTTTATAAATTTCCCAGTTTCAGGTATTCCTTTACAGCAACACAAAATGGACAAAGACAATCCCAGTCCACCAATTTGTGGTACCTCTGACTTGAGCCCCTCCCCTGAACTCCAGACCTGTGTGTCCAGCTATCCACTCAAGGCCTTCACTCAGGGGTCTTTATTAGAACATCTCAGACTCAACATCAAATAACAAATCCTAACTCCTGATATTCCCTCTGAAAATTACTCCTACAACTGACTTCCCCATTTCAGTTGGCATCTCCTTCCAGCTACAAAGGCCAACAATTCTGGAGTTATCATTGATTCCTCTCCTTCCCTCTTAACTTCCATATCCGTAAGTCTAATTGGACCTACTTTGAAAACACAAATCCAGAAACTGCATTTTTCTCCCATATCCATAGCCACCACCCTGGACCAGCCCTCACTGATATTCATATAGACTATTGCAGGAGCCTCTTCCCTCCCTCCTAATGTCTGTTCTCCACTGTGCAGCCAGAGGAAGTCTGTTAAGAATTCAGATGACTGCCCCCTACTCTACTCCAAACCTTCCATGGCTCCTAACACCTTCAGAATGAAGGCACAGTTCCTCCACCTGCCATTGCAGGCCTGACTCCTGCATCCCTGCTCTCTGGTCCTATAAGATGAAACAGAGACCTGTAACAGCTGCCTGACGACTCAGGCTCAGCTCTAAGTATTTGCACATGCTGATCCCTGGGCCTGTAATACCTTCTACAGGACATCCCACTGGTGGCCAGAAAGTGGGCCCACTCCATATAACCCCGGCCTGGATTCATGACCCTGAGTCTGGTGAGACCTCAGAGACCTGGACCCAAAGGCTAGTAGAGTGGCAGGCAGAGGGTCCTGCCACAACCTGAGGACCAGGTGAGTGGGACACAGGAAGGATGAGGACCTGAGACACCCTCTACTCACCTGTGCATGGCTCATAAGTGCTTCTGAAGCCATGGAAACCTGTGGGAAGAGTGAGATTGTGAGTGAAGGGGACCCCTAATGGAGTCCCAAGGGCTGGAGGTGACCTCCAGCTGACTTTTTAACTTATGGGCTTCAGTCCTTAGTGCTACCTCTTACCAGATGTGTGACCTTGAACAACCTCCTTGTGCCTCAATGTCATCTGTAAAATGGGTATCAGAATGGTTCCAAGCTCACAGGGCTGCTGTTGGTATCAAATGCATTAGTACATATCAAGTGGCAAGTGTGGACTATTACTGCCACAGAATTAAGGCTGTTGTCAATATTTTCAGTACAAATGATATGATAGGTTTTTGAAACTTTAGATGTGTGGTATACTTACCTTGTAAGTATTTATAAGAATATAATATTTATGACTTTTTAGTATCTTAATATACTGCCTTGTGGCATATTAAGGTGTGAACTAAATATTAAGTGCTTACATAAAGTCAACTCGTTAAAATAACACAATTCAATGTTTAATTGCCTACCTATACATATACATTTAGAGAAATATTGATTTTTTTTTAAATTTCAGAGTATTACGGGGGTTACATAAATTGCCCTTGCACTGTTCGAGTCAGAATTACAAGCGTGTCCATCCCCCAGACAGGGTGCAACGCATCCCTTAGGTGTGAATTTACCTGTTGAAATAAGTGGTTGTTTCATAAATTCACAAGTTAAAACTGGGGAGGTGGACGGCAGCTGTGCAGGCCAGGTGGATGCTAGTTTTCTATCTTTAAAAACCCACCTGTAATTGGATCACTTCTCCCCATTCTATCGCCACCACTCTGATCCAGCAGTGGCTCTCCTGGAGTCTGCTACAGTAGCTTCCTCAAGGTCTCCCCATCTCCACTCTCACAAACCCTCCTTCCCTCCCAGCCCCCAGTCTGTTCTCTGAGCAGTCTTTGGGAATTTTTAAAAATCTTAGTCTCTCTGTCCACAACCCTCCATGGCTACCGGCACCCTCAGAATGACATCACAGCGACTTGACGGCTGCTGTGAACCAAAATAAAATCTTACTGATCACCCCCACACTGGCTGACTGAAGGGACTCCCTTCTGGCCAAAGGAATATCCTAAAACTAAATTGCCTGCCAGGAGGAGGGAGGTCAGACAGGCCTCATCATGCTCCCCTCCCTTCTTGGGGACATCCATTGTAACCCATTAACAGGCCTAACGGTATGCAAGACAAACCTGCAGGTCCTCAATTTATTATAACAAATACATGCCCAGTGGCTTGTCTCTGATTAACAGCTCCTTATGCTAAAACATCCCAAGCCTTTAGACAAAGCCTCATGTCTTTAACCAATTACAAGTCAAAGAATCTTTAAACCCATCTATAACCTGTAAGCCCCCCTCCTCAAGATGGCCCACCTTTTCAGGCCAAACCAATGTATCAATGTATGCCTCCTACATATTGATTTCTGACTTTACCTGTAACCCCTGTCTCCCTGAAATGTATCAAACCAAACCGTAACCCAGCCACAGCGAGTCCACTTGCTCAAGGCTTCTTGGGCGTGGCTCCGGGTCATGGTCCTCAAATTTGGATCAGAGTAAATCTCTTTAAAATTATTTTACAGAGTTTGGCTTTTTTTTTTTTTCCTGTTAACTCTGCCATTCCACACATAGCTCATCCGCTCACAATGTCTTCCATAGATAGGAGACAGACTCCAGGTTTCCCAACTGCCCCTCGATCGCACCTCCAAGCCTCTGCACATGCTGGTCTCTGTATAAAAGAACACTCAGCCACTCCTCATCACGCTGGGGGTCAGAAATGGGGACCCCGCCCAGGAACGCATCAATGTCTCGAACAGAGGGGCATGGCTGAGGTGACCTGGGAGGGCGGCCTTCCTTCATTCGGGGGTTCAGGATTTGGAGGTGCGGACAGGTGAGGACCTGGGGGACGCAGCACCAACCTATGCTCGGCCCATCAGAGCAGCCGCCAACAAGAGAGCCTGTGGCGCAGCGGGGCCAGGAGCGCGAGCCAAACCCAAACCCAGCCCGTCCCCCCGCGGGGAGCCAACCCAGGGGGCGCCCCAGCCCCGCACCCCCGAACCACAGACTCGCCTCTGTGCATTGTGGGCAACGTTTCCCATCACCCCTTCCTGCTCAACGTTACCTTAGGCCTGACCAAGAGCTCAGAACCTGATCAGGTGGGCCGACCCAAGAAAGACCAGAACGACAACCGCCCGGAAACCGCCGGAAATCCCGCCTGGACGTGCTCCGCAAGGTACCGAAGCGCCGCTCTCCTCGGCCCTCATTGGCCCAGCGCCGCAGTGCTCTGCGCGGAGGCTTCTGGGTAATGTAGTTCCAGACTCTGCGGCGCAGGCGCACGGTCCAAGAGGTCGCGCAAGGGGCGCCGGGAAGGGGTTACCCGAAGTTCCAAAGCTCCGACCCCGTTTGGCTCCGGATAGAGAGGACGCGCGGACGTTACTCAGTCACAGAAAAGTTTAGGAACACATTATTTCAGATGCTCCCCAAAGCTGCAAAAGACACGAAACCATGTCAGTGTGATCCTAAGACACTAATGGGAACACGATCAAGCAGACCAATATAGTAACCCCTCTTTATCCATAGGGTTATGTTCCAAGAACCTCAGTGGGTACTATTTTTTTCCTATACATACATGCCTATGATAAAGTTTAGTTTTTAAATTATGTACAGCGTGAACTAAAGTATAATTTTAAGGCTCAACACCCACCGGCTAAGTGAATGGACCCCCTCGTTGCCAAAGGAATATCCTAAAATTAAATTGTCTGCCAGGAGGAGGGAGGTCAGACAGACCTCATCATGCCCCCCTCTCTTCTTGGGGACATCCTTTGTAACTCATTAACAGGCCTAAGGGTATGCAAGACAAACCTGCAGGTCCTCAATTTACACAATAAATCTATGTCCAGTTGCTTGTCTCTGATAAACAGCTCCTTATGTTAAAACATTCCAAGCCTTTAGACAAAGCTTCATGTCTTTAACCAATTACAAGCCAAAGAATCTTTAAACCCACCTATAACCTGTAAGCTCCCCCCATGCTTCGAGATGTCCCACCTTTTTGGGCCAAACCAATGTAGGCCTCCCACTTATTGATTTATGACTTTACCTGTAACTCCTTTCTCCCTGAAATGTATAAAAACCAAACTGTAACCCAGCCACAGCAAGTCCACTTGCCCAAGGCCTCTTGGCAGTGGGCCGGGTCCTGGTCCTCAAATTTGGTTCAGAATAAATCTCTTTAAAATTATTTTACAGAGTTTGGCTTTTTTTCCATTGACAACAGTAAGAAATAATAATAAAATAGAACAATCATAACAATATACTGTAATAAAAGTTATGTGAATGTGATCACTTTCTTTCTAATAGCTTATTGTACGGTACTCATTCTTCTTGTGATGATGTGAGCTGATACAATGCATGCATAATGAGATGAAGTTAAGATGTATGCATCATGACTTGGCATTAGGCTACTACTGACCTTCTGTATTCCTGAATCTGTGTAACCAGTCCTTACTTTCAACAAATGGCTTGATGTCACTTGTTGCAGGGGGTTCATTGCTGAAGTCTTCTTACAGATGCAATGCTTTCTGGCACATTTCTGTCAATCAGAACACGTTTTCTGTTCATGTCTTCCACCCACAAATTTAATGCCTTTTCTATCTTAACTGAGCACTTAGCAATCACTGTGGACATAATTTTTCAGTTTGAAGTGTGACAGCAAAACCAGCATGATTTTTTTTTTTTCCTTCTTCGAAGTTTTATGAGAAAATTTATTCTTACCATAGATCTTAGCAACCTCAGCACGGGATATTTTTTTCTCATTAAGTCGAGAATGTTCTTTTTTCACTTAAAGGAAGCACTTTACAGCTTCTCCTTGGCACATCCAAATTGCATCATTACAGTTGCACTTTGCGACCATTATTGAGTAAAGTAAGGGTTATTTGAACACAAGCAAACACCATGGCAGTTGATCTGATAACCAAGAGGGCTACTAAGTGGCTAATGGGAGAGTAGCATATACAGCGTGGCTATGCTGTACAACGGGATGAATTACATCCTGGTTGGGAGAGACCAGGATGTCACTAAATGTTATCATGCCATCAGAATGGTGCACAATTTAAAACTTACGGATTGTTTATTTCTTGAATTTTTTATTTAACATTTTTGGATCGTGATTGACCATCAAAAATTTTCAGGTAACTGAAACTATAGAAAGTGAAATGGTGAGTAAGTGGGGCTATTATATAGTTTCCTCCATGTTTCTTAAGCTTAAAGTTAATTGGGTTTTGTGGATGGGTAGGTTTATAGTTTTTATCAAATTTGGAAAACTTTTGGCCCTTATTCCCTAAGAGATTCCAGTTAATTATAATTAGGCTACAGCTCACTGATCTTTTTTAGTTTTCGATTTTTTTCTGTTTTTCATTTTGGATCATTTCTATTGCTGTCTTTTCCCAACTCACTAATATTTTCTTCTGCAGTGTTTAATGTGCTGTTAATTCCATCCATTGGAATATATTTTTTACCTGTATGAGTTTGATTTGGGTCTTTTTAAATATATCTGTTTTATGAAGTATTCTTCTCCTTCCTTTCTTGAACATTTAATATAATTTTAATAACTGTTTTAATGTTTTTGTCTACCAATTCTATCATGTGTGTCATTATTTTGTCAATATTGATTGACTCTTCTGATAATAGGTCATACTTTTCTTCTTCTTTGCATACCTGGTAATTATTTTTTATATGCAAAATATTGTGAAATTTAATTTTTTAGGTGCTGGTTAGTTTTGTATTTCTGTCAATATTCTTGAGTTTTGTTCTGTTACTCAGTTATTTGGAAAGTTTGATCCATTTGAAGAGTTTTTAAAGTTTTGTTAGGTGGCACAAACGTGGCAATATGCTAAGGTGAATTTTATACCACTACTAAGATGGTACCTGTCTGAGTAAACTACTCCCCATGAATAACTTGGGTATTCCTCTCTGGCTGTTAGGAACACAGTTTCCAGCCCTGTGTAAATTTCAGAGATTGTTCCCCCTGCTCCTTTCTGGTGGTTATTCCATAGTCTTGGGACATTTTCTCACATGCATACACTGAGCAGTATTCAGTGAAGAGTTGACAGGCACTTTCTGCAAAACCATGGAACTCTCTCCTCTCCAGTATCCTGCCCTACAAATTTACCCACCTTGGCCACTTTAAACTCTCAATTCCATCTCATGAACTCAGAGGCCACTGATTTCCTCTTGGAATCTCCCTTCCTGCAGTGCAACCTGGAAATTCTCTCAGGGCAACCCGCAGCACTTATGTGGTTTCACCTTGTTTCCCTCTCCCAGAGATCTCTCTGTGCTACCTGATGCCCAATTGCTGAAAATGATTATTTTGCATATTGATTTTACATTTGATTATTTTGTCCAGTTTTTGTTGTTTCAAGTGGGAGGATTAAGTCCAGTCCCTGTTACTCCATCTTGGCCAGAAACAGTAATCTTTTTGTTTTGTTGTCTTTTTATACTCCATTGACTATGAACTTGGGGAAAGTGTTATGTTATTTCTCCTAATAACTATGACACTGGAGTAAGTATCATAGTGACATAATGGAATTGGGATCTACTAATGGAAGAGTATCTATGGATGTTTGGGGGAGGCAATATATACATACATGTATCAATGATTTATAAATAGAGGGTATTTCTTTAAGGACTAGAATTCCTTTCCCTAATCTAGCTTACACTTGGTAGTGCCAGAGAAATAACAAATGTGATAGCTCAGCAAATACACAGCATGTTAGAAGAAAAAGTGGGGAAAGGAGACAGGCAAGTGGGAGGCAGAAGGAGGGGAGAAGAGTTACAATTTAGATTAAATGGCTAGAGCAGCTAATAACCTGGCATCTGAAGGAACTTACAGTACCCACGGCAGAGTGTGTTAGCATTTATTTCTCCATGGACGGGCAGACACATTGCTTATCGGACGTATTGCCTCTGTTGTCCAATAAATGAGACAAAAAGGTGTCTCCATATAACTATCTTAATGGAGCAGAGACTTACTGGATTAATCTCTGCTCATGACATCCTCTGATAGACTTCTTTACTGAACAATTACTGACAATGTAGTAGCCATTCATGAACCTACCAACTAACCCAAAACCTGGAATGCCAATATATGCTTAAAAGCCACTTTATTTTGTTCTCTGTGAATTTTTTGCTAGAAACATTTGTTCCTTTTACTACTGGTATGTTGGTCTTTTCCTTATCACTTGTAGGAGCTGTGTAGGGACTCCTCATATACTAGGAAATTGAGCCAATTATAATATGAGTTGCAAATAGTTTCACCAATATTTTCTCCTGGCATTTTGAACTTCTCTGTGGTACAGTCTGCCATGCAATAATATTTTGTTGTTTATGCAGTCAGATTTATCAATTTGGTTTTTTCATCTTTGGAAACGTCTTCATTACTTTGAGCTTATTTTTAAAATCTTCCATTTTTTAATAAGAACTTTATGGGACTTTTTGGTCTTTAAATATATAAATATTTTGGATATCTGAGTTTAATTCTGAAGGAAGCTGTGAAAGATAGATCCAACTGTTTTATTTCCTCAGATGTTTAATCAGTTGATTCAACAGCATTACGTTTATAAAATCACCCAAAGTGCCTCACTGATTTACAAGTTACCTTTATCACACAATTTCAATAATTTATATATATTTCTGGCTTTCTGTTGACAGTCTGTTTATTAGGATATACCCACACATGTGTATGTTTTAATATTTCATAGGGCTTATTATCCCTAATATTCTATATCTGAATTTTTTCTCAGCTATTTTTAACAAATATAAATGTCATATATGATAGTAGCATTTTCTGTGTTTTGTTCACTCATCATAATACATATGAGATTCCTCCATGTGGCTGCATGTGTCAATAGTTTGTTCCATTTTATTGCTGGGCAATATTCAATTGTATGGTGTAACACACTTCGTGTATCCATTCACAAGTTGACCACCACTTGAGTTGTTTCCACTTTCAATAAAACCCGAATTAAACTGCAATAAACACTGATGAGCAGGTTTTTATATAAACGTCAATTTTCATTTCTCTTGGGTGAATACCTGAGAGGGACTGCTGGATCGCATGATGAATGTAAGACTAACTGTATAAGGATGAAGTAAATTTTCTCTTCAAAAAAAATCTTGGAGGATCTCAAACTACCCAACACTAAAAGAAAATCCCAAAGGCCGGGTGCGGTGGCTCACGCCTGTAATCCTAGCACTATGGGAGGCCGAGGCGGGCGGATTGCTCGAGGTCAAGAGTTCGAAACCAGCCTGAGCAAGAGCGAGACCCCTTCTCTACTATAAAATTAGAAAGAAATTAATTGGCCAACTAATATATATACAGACTACAGGCATGGTGGCGCATGCCTGTAGTCGTAGCTACTCGGGAGGCTGAGGCAGGAGGATTGCTTGAGCCCAGGAGTCTGAGGTTGCTGTGAGCTAGGCTGACTCCGCGGCACTCACTCTAGCCTGGGCAATAAAGCAAGACTCTGTCTCAAAAAAAAAAAAAAAAAAAGTGGGCAAAGGACATGAACAAACATTTCTCAAAAGAAGACACACAAATAGCCAACATATACATGAAAAAAATGCTCAATGTCACTCATCATCAGAGAAATGCAGATCAAAACCACAATGAGATATCATCTTATCCCAGGTAGAGTGGCTACTATAAAAAAAAGACCAAAAAAAGGCTGGGCGTGGTCGTTCACACCTGTAATCCTAGCACTCTGGGAGGCTGAGGCAGGAGGATCGCTTGAGGTCATGAATTTGAGACCAGCCTGAGCAAGAGTGACATCCCACCTCTACTAAAAAAAAGAGAAAGAAATTAATTGGCCAACTAAGCCTGAGCAAGAGTGAGACCCCACCTCTACTAAAAAATATAGAAAGAAATTAATTGGCCAACTAAAAACATATAGAAAAAATTAGCCAGGCATGGTGCCACATGCCTGTAGTCCCAGCTACTCGGGAGGCTGAGGCAGGAGGATCAGTAGGATTACTTGAGCCCAGGAGTTGGAGGTTGCTGTGAGCTAGGCTGATGCCACGACACTCACTCTACCCCAGTCAACAGAGTGAGACTCTGTCTCAAAAAAAAAAAAAAAAAAAAGACAAAAAATAACCGATGCTGGGGAGGATGTGGAGAAAAGCAAACTTTTACACGCTGTCCTTGGGAATGTAAATTAGTGCAGCCACTATGGAAAGCAGCATGGAGATTTCTCAAAAAACTAACAAATAGGGGTGGGGGGTGATGAAGAGAAAAACTAACAAATAGGGGTGGAGGTGATGAAGAGAGGTAGGCTAATGAGCTCAAACGTACTGTTAAATAAAAGGTCTAAGCTCTGTTGTTCGACAGCAGAGTGACTATAGGGAACAACGCACCACTGTGTATTTCAAAGTAGCTAGAAGGACTTGAACTGTTTCCAATGCATAGAAATGATAAATACTCAAAATGGGCCGGGCGCGGTGGCTCATGCCTGTAATCCTAGCTCTCTGGGAGGCCGAGGCGGCTGGATTGCTCGAGTTCAGGAGTTCGAAACCAGCCTGAGCAAGAGCGAGACCCCGTCTCTACTATAAATGGAAAGAAATTAGTTGGCCAACTAAAAATATATAGAAAAAATTAGCCGGGCATGGTGGCGCATGCCTGTAGTCCCAGCTACTCGGGAGGCTGAGGCAGGAGGATTGCTTGAGCCCAGGAGTTTGAGGTTGCTGTGAGCTAGGCTGGGCAACAAAGTGAGACTCTGTCTCAAAAAAAAAAAAAATACTCAAAATGATGGACACCTCAAATACCCTAACTGTATGATTACACGTTCTATGCATGTAACAAAATACCGCACATACCTCACAAATGTGTGAAATATTATGTATCCATAATCTTATTGGCATTTTCATTGGTATTACATTAAACTGACTGCAATTTTTAGGGGGAAATGACACATTTAGGCAGGTGAAAATTCCCATGCAATAACAGTCTTTTCGTTTATTTAAATTCTGTTTTACTTGTCCCTCATGAGGATTTTAGAGTTTAAAAAAAAAAAAATTCACTAATTCAACAAATATTTAGCGGGGACCTATTTGGCACTACACGATATTTTAGTACTGTGGTTGCAAATTGAAATTTGGAAGTTGTAGGTAAAGCTAGAAAAATGAAGCTAGACTATATCGCTGAGAAAATGAGCATAGATAGAAAAGAAATGCAAAGAGAGTGATCCCTGGTATAGGACACAAGTAACCAGAAAAGAAGCTGAGAAGGATCCTCCAATGAGGCAGGAGAGAAAACCAAGGGACTGGCACGTCATGAAAGCCAGCTGGGGTGTGTGGAGGATCAGGTGTGGCAAATGAACGGCGACCCGAATGCTTCCCACTCACCTGGCTCTGGAGCGCCCCACCTGTTGCGGAGAGGGGGGGGAAAGACCCCAGGTGACACTGGCCTCACTCGATGAGTCCAGACGCTCCTGTTTTCTCTCCCCTGCTCATTCTGTCTCTCCATAGCTTTATCCATCTTTCTCGCCATCATTCTCTGAGACGCGCCATCTCCCTCTTACACGGCATGTCTCTCACTCCTCCACCTGTCACCGGCTCTCGCCCAATCTCCCGATCTCGCTCATTCATTCTCTCAAATACTCAACCTCTCTCAATCTCTGTGACTCTCCGCCCCCTCCCCCCGACACACACACACACACACACACACACACGGGGCAGCACACTGGGCACTCGGGCCTCAGCATGGAACCAAGCAGGCCCCACAGAGAGGCGTGTGCTTGCTTGCACGTGTCCTGCATGGGGCACACACGGCCACCCGGGATGTGCACGTGTGTGTAGGATTTGCATAAACCCCCGTTCTTGCGCCTTTGTGCTCCACCTGTCGCTCCTTCGCTGGGTAACTCAGGCTGGACTGGGACACGCAGAGCAATCGGGGCGGGGGGAGCTACGCCCAGACCCTAAAGCCCGAGGCTCTGGCCGCAGCACCCACCGTATGCCAGGAATGGTGGAGACGAGAGTGAACCACCCAGACCGACCCTGGCCTGGAGAGCTCACCGCCTCACGGGGAGACGGTCAGCAAGAGAATAATGACTGAGACACACAAAAGCACAACAGTAGCCAAAGACACAGGTGCGGGTGTCACCAGATGCCCACATCAGGGGAGGCATCGCAGGGGCGGGCGGGGTGGGGGGCGGTGGTGGTGTTGGCACCCAGGCCTGGAAAGTCACAGGCCGTCCACCTGCACAGGGTGTGGCTCTCACACTGCTCCCTCAGTCCCACGACCATCAGGTCAGCGTCACTCCTGCAAGCCACCTGCAGATGCTGCTGCATCGGACACATGAGCTTGGGGAGCAGGGACCGAAAGCTGGGGGTGTCGAGCGAAGTGTCATAACCAGGAGCCTGACTCCGCGGTGCCGCTGAGAGCAGAGGATCTGAGGGAGAATGAGAGCGCTGGGCACGGAGTGGCTCCAGCAGAGGCAACCGCTCGTGCAAAGGCACCGAGGTAGGAGGGACGGTGGCGTCACCCGTGCCCACACAAGGCAACACGGGGCCGAGAGAGAGAAAGGGCAAGCGTGGCCCGAAATGAGGCCACCGTCCCACAGGGTCATGCCCTGCCTCGGCCCTGACCCCGGACAAAGTCCGTTCTGTGGGCGGGAAGGGGGGCTCAGGCCAGCTGGGTGGGAGGAGCACATGCAGGGAGCACTGGGGACCCCATGGCCGGACAAGCAGGGGCCACCTCCACGGCAGACGCACAGGGAGAGAACAGGGCCAGGTGAAACCCTGGTCAGAGCAGGCTTGACGGACTGAGCAAGCCAAGAGGAGGGCTCAAGGAAGAAAGCTTTGCCATGATGCATAATTGGTTAAAAAGCAAAGCAGCCCAACTCAGAAGGACGAGAGAGCCAGAAACAGCCTCCGCTCCTGGAGTTTGCTGTCTGGCCTCATGGGGGTCACTTCCTCCAACAGCCCTCCCTGCCTGCTCCTGCAGAGCCCCCTCCTCCGCGACACACCTGCCCCAGCTCAGCGCCTCCCAGCTCCAGCTGGACCCCACTGGCGGCCAGGTCCCCTGCTGTCCCCTCTGATGCACGCCCTTGGGCGCCACCTCGACAACCCATCTAGTTCCTCTCCTGGCTCGGACAGATGGACGCGTGCCCCGCAAACAGACCTGTCTGACGGTGGGGAAGGGTGGCAGCCGCGCCCCTCTCGCAGGAACAAGCGGGCTCCGTGCAGATGATCCCGGAAACCACCGTCAGGCCCAGTGGCCCGGCCCCAGGTGCAAATCCCACGGACACCGTGAGTCCCAGGACAAAATGGGCCGACGGTCCCCCAACCTGCACCCCGAGGTGACGGCTCTTCAGACCCTGACACACACGACACCCCACACTAAAGCGTGAAAGGCAGACACGCACGGTGAGATTTTAGAGGAATTTATACAAAAATAGTTAAAACTACAATGTTCTGACTGCCTGAAAACCAGCTCCATCATATACAAATCGGACACTTGTGAGTCTGCTGTAACCTGCTTAAGAAATGACAAGCTCGGCCCAGGTTCTCAGAAGAAAACTACGTTGTTTTAAATAACATGAAGACACCCTCCAGGGGAAAACTTAATTTAAGTCAAACCATACCCTTCGGTCGGTCGTGGAGCCCGCCAGGCGGTGCGCACGCGCAGTGCGGGCGCTGTGCCCTCCTCCCCCCGCGCGGCGGGGCGCGTGCTGGGGGGGGTCCCTCTGTGGCTGGATCGCGGGGTGCAGGGGGCTCTTCCCGGGGCTGAGGAGGGGAGCGGGCGCGGGCCCCAAGCAAGGAGCCCCGAACCAGGGGCGGGGCGGGAACCGAGGCTGCAGCACGCTGCAGAGTCCCCGCGGCCGACTCCAGCAATGCCCCGCTGCAGGCCCCGTCCCCAACCATTCCGCACCCTGCTGGGACCGTGCCCACCCACCAGCGGGCAAGGCACTCTGCCGCGACACACAAACACCCTGCACCCGGGAGCGCGCCTGGAGGGCCCCAGGCCCCTCGGTACAGGTTCACGGAAATCAGTGTCCTTGTCACCCCGGACCTCCGGGCGCCTCCGGGTGCGGCCTGTCCCTGTCCCGAGGCTGCCGGGCCGCGGAGGAGGGGTCCGGGAACGGAGAGCCAGCGCCGGGCGCCGGGCGCCGGGCGCGCGGGCGGAGCGGCCGGAGGAGGCACAGACGGTGAATAAATAGGAGCTTCCACGCGGGGTCCGGCCCTGCGCTCAGCAGCTCGGTGGCGCCCACGGTGGCGCCCGGCGCGGCGGGAGCCTGTCCCCCGGCTGGGGTGGCGCTCCTGCTCAGAGCTCGGTCACGTGCACCGTGGGCGAGGGCAGGGGGCCCGGCCGCAGGCGCCGCAGGTGGCAGCGGCGGCAGAGCAGGTGGCCCGCCAGGGGGTAGCAGCGGCGTCCGTCCTCCCCGCTCAGCTGCAGCCCGCAGTCCTAGGGGAGAACACAGCCCCGTCCCACAGTGAGCAGGCCCCAGGGCTCCTGGCAGCGGTGGGGACGGGGCTCTTCTTCCGCGGGGAGGATGGGCAGCCACGTGCAGGAACACGTGCAACCGCAGACGCCTCCCACACCCCAGAGTAGGCCTCTCGGGGACCAGTTCGCCCGGGAGACCGGGCTGGGCAACGTGGCATCACCATAAAAACATGATGGCTTTTTACAAAAACAACGCTCTTGCAGGGAGCGCAGCTAACTAGAAAAGAGGAGAAATAACGGAGGCTTGGAGGGTCCAGCGACAAGGTGGAAAGAAAAGGACCTGAGCAAAGGAGGTGTGAGGAGGAAGGAAGGTGGGGGGAGCCAGAAAGGGACAGGCAGGACAGGAGGAGCAGGTGTGTAGAGGAGGGAGTGGCTGGACCAGGCGTGGTGGTTCGTGCTTGTAACCCTGGCACTCTGGGAGGCCGAGGTGGGAGAATTGCTTAAGGTCAGGAGTTCAAGACCAGCAAGAGCAAGACCATGTCTCTACTTAAAAAAAAAAAAAAAAAAAAGGAAAAACGTAGCCAGGCAACTACAAATAGAAAAAACAAATTAGCCGGGCACGGTGGTGCATGCCTGTAGTCCCAGCTACTCAGGAGGCTGAGGCAGGAGGATTGCTTGAGTCCAGGAGTCTGAGGTTGCTGTGAGCTAGGGTGATGCCACGGCACTCTAGTCTGGGCAACCCAGTGAGATCTCGTCTCAAAAAAAAAAAAAAAAAAGAGGGAGTGGCTGTGATGTGGGAAGCTGCCCTGAAGCCCGGAAGGTGACACCTGAGAAGTGTCCACTGGAGCCCGCCACATGGGGGTCACTGATGGCCCAAAGAGCCAATGGAAAGAGAAGAACTGTAGACACCACATAAAGGAGTAGTTTGGCTTGATGTCCCTTAGGTCGCATTTCTGCCACTGCAGGATATCCTGGCAGCTTTGACACTTGATACCCAAAGCCCCCGAGACCAACAGCAGCCCCGCCCCGCACGGGTAAGGCAGCGGGGCTGCTATGACGGAGTGGGAGCCTCAGGTCCCCAAACCACTGCCAGCCCAGCTCTCCTCCCTGTCCTGCCACACACCACTGCCTGGGCCCTGGCACCAGCCGCTGCCTGCCAGAGAGGGCAGGGGAGCAGGCACCTGGTGACCCTACTTCCCAGCCAGCAGCCTCTGGGGGACAACAGCACCGCACCCCTCCCTGCCCCGCTGCAGCCGGACTTGCTCCCTGACTCTCCGCGGCCACCTTTCGCTAATAAGGCCTGTGCTCTGCGGTCCCCAGCAGACACCTCCGTCCACAGGACAGCCTGGCAGGCAGAGGGTTGCTGAGGCCCTGTTGTCGCTGGACGGGGAGCCGGGGCCCTCTGCAGACCGCACCTGCCCCTCAACCTCTCTCCGAGGTCCCCTAGCAGGATCTGACCAGGATCCCACCTGGCCACCTGCCCCCACCAGTCTTGCTGCCAGACAGATCCTTGATTCTTGTTGCAGATTTCTCCCTGACGCCCCCCTTGGTGCTCCTCCTGCCCCCCTTTGTGGCTGCTTTGCCACCGGTGCTCCCTGGGCTACCCTGAGCCCCACTTTCTTCCGTGCACAATGAAGAAAGCAGTGACTCTGAGACCCAGGACGACAGGCAGGACAGATCAATAAGCCGACAGAAGGCAAACAAACCCAGGAGGTGAGCCCTGCATCGCCCAGACTAACCACCCGCAGGGATGTTCCAGGTTGCCCGAGAGAGCCCAGGGGTCTCCCCGAGTTGAGAATCTGGGGGAGCGACTAGATGTTTCGGGGCAAAGTATCACAGAGGCGAGAGCCACACGCCGATGGCTCTCAAATCCCTATGAGGGGCCGGCAGGGTCTCTGAACTGCCATGCATTTTACAGTCTCCCTCTGATGTCTCCAGCTATCCCAAAATGACAGCATCTCACCCCCTTCTTCCTCTCGCCCTCACTCCCTGCTGGGGTCCCGATGCTCAAACTCCTGCCTGCGGCCACCCACCGCACCCAGGCCCTTCCACGGCCTGCCCATCGCTCAACTCGGCCCCTTTTCTGAAGCCAGGTCCCCACCCTGACCCCACCAGCCTCCTGGGGACGCCCTGCCCCCACTCCCTCTTCCTCGGATTCGTTCTCTGCATGGCACTGCCTTTTCCAAAGTCCAAATGCAATCGTGTCATCTCTCTTTGACCATTCTCCACTGCCCTCAGTGTAAGTCCACACTCCGTAGTTCACGTGGCCTTTTGTCCCCAGCTCCTGCCAAGTCCCCCTTGACGGCACCCATCACCTTGTGTGGATAGTGCTGGGGACACGTCTCTCCCGTGATGGCAGGGACTGTCTAATCTCTGCCACATCCCCAGCCCCACATACTGCAGACAGTGAATGTCTGCATGAATGAGAAACGGCCTCAGGGGAAGGCAGAGCTCGCTGGGAGGGGACAGGGACAATGGGGTGGAAGATGTCACAGAGGAGGCCGGTCCATACAACACCTACGGTGACTGAGACTGGTGTGGGAAGGGGACTGCCCCGAGAGAGCCCAGGCTCACCTCACAGTGGTAGCACTCCACGTGGTAGTCTCTGTCCATGGACACCACACGGATGGTCGTCTCGCAGCCCTGGAGGAAGAGACGGGGTTCACACAAGATAAGCACGTTGTGCATGAGAGCACACACCGGGCGTGCTCACATCGGGCCAGCACAGAACAGGCATCCATAGATGCACACAAATGGCTCTGAATGCGCCTCAGGTGTCATCCATGGCTGCAGCTGACAGCATGCACGTGTGTCCACGGGAGTGTCACTTGGGGGTAAATGAGTGTGTACATATGATTTTCACTTCTTTGGAGTGAGGAAAGACCACTGCCAGTTCTGCTTCCCTGGGTACACCCAGGGACAGAACCAGCACCTGTGGGAAGACCTGAGACGGCTGCACCACCTAAGGGTGGCCCCATACAGACCACATCCCTCTGGCATCTGCTCCCCAGGCCCACCCATCCTCAGCCTGCAGAGCTGGTCAGACCCGGGACAGCCTTACATCAACGGGGAATGGAGCAGAGGCTGGCCACGGGGCAGTCAAGCAGCAGAGGCCACCACTTCCCTGTACCCCAAGCCAGGGGACAAGTGCACCTGGCATGCATGGCCACAGCACACACCCCCCGGCCCTGAAAGGCGTGGGGCAGGAGCACCTGCTCACCCCTCCCACTGTGGCCAAGACCTGGGGCGGACCCGAGCAGGACTGGGAAGAGGCCGGCCAGTCGGGCCAGGCACCTGATCGACTCCAGGTGAGCGGTTCCTACCTGTGCAGGGAGGATAGGACGGGCACAGGAGGCACATTTTGGTGCAAAAACCCTGGAGGAATAAAGGAAACCAGAAGTGACCGGTTGAGTGACCAGAGGCCAAAGGGCACAAGGACAGGTCCACCCACAGTAGCCCTAGGACACGGCCCAGCCATCAGGCCCTCTCCCCTCATGGGGACACTTTGGGTGGCAGAAGCTAGGACAGCTTCCGCCCTGGCTTCCTGGTACAGGCCTCCTCTCTGGCTCCCAGGTTCACCTCTACCCTGTCATCCCCTCCGGGATGGCTTCAGGTTCTGTGCCATCATCTCCATCATGCTTGTGACAGGGGCCCCTGCCCCTAATGTCCAAGTCTGGCCCGACTGTGAGTAGTAGGGACGTGTGCTTGGCACCGACCCCCCGAGAGGCAGCAGCACAAGCACCAGAGCTCTGAGCCTGGAGCCACAGCTGGGGGGGACAGACCGGCAGGTGCCAGACGGGCAGGAGAAAGGGTCTGCAAAGACCCCAAACCCCTACCCCAGCCAGAGGCGGCCTGGCCTGGCCGGGGATGGAGGAGAGGACAGAGAGGGATGGCGATGGTGCAGTCACAAAGAAGAGAGGAGAACGCAGGCCGAGGCAGGAAGGGGAGAGGCAGGGGACAGCTGACGGCTGCATCACCCCGCAGAGGGGCTCAGGCTGCGACCCACGCCCTGCCTCAGCCACCCAGTGTGCACCGAGTGTGCAGATGAGGCCAGGAGTAAAAAGGCCAAGAACAGAGGGCAAGAACAGGCCGGAAAACACGTGTGCAAGAGAGGCAGGGGGACAGCGCGAGCCACACCTGCTCCCCAGCACGGCGACTCACGTGTGATAGTCCCTGACGCAGTAGATGTTGTTCTGCACGTCCACGGTGAAGGGCACGCCGTCCAGGCACTCGTTGCACACGGAGCAGCGGAAGCAGCCTGGGTGGTAGGACTTGCCCAGCGCCTGCAGGATCTGCAGGCGGGCGGGGGGCACTGGGGGGTCAGGCGCCCCGCCCTGCAAGAGGCTCTGACCCCGAGCCCCCGGCAGGCCTGGCGCGGGACAGTGGGTGGGATCCTCAGATTCTGCCCACGGCAGAGGGGCTCCCGGAGGCTGGGGCGGGTTCTCACCATCTCCATGATGAGGTGTCCACACACGCTGCACTTGTCAGCCGTCTGCTGGAACCCGGAGTACTGGGAGGAGACACACGGTCCGGGGGTGTCATGTGACAAGGGGACATTCGCCGTCCGGCCGGCCCCTCCTGCCTCCTGGTCTCAGGGCTCCACATGAGCCAGAAGGAGGGTCCCCACCTGGCTGCCACCCACGGCCTGCCAAGGGCACAGCTGAGACTCACCAGGAAGTCCTCCTGGCAGTACACTTTGTCACCCACGTTGTAGAACGCCTTCCCTCGGAGCCGTCTCCCTGCGGGGACGAGGGTTGTTGGGAAGGGGTCCCTGGAATGCCGGGAACAAGGGACCAGCCCTGCTTCTACCTCTCGGCGCCGCTCCCCCAAGGGACGAGAAGTTGGATTTTGGATGCATCTTTAAATGCCCTTTTAACGTTATTACTGTTATAATAATAAACGTTCCAGAAACATTACGTGGAACACAGTGTCAACAGAACTACTGTAAAAGGTTGTCAAAGCAAACATATGAGGAAATATTTTTGAAGTCTAATTCGATATTTCAATTAATAAACACATTTCACTTTAAGAACAGTTGAACTCGGAGCAGATTTTTTGCAGAATGAATCTTCTTAATCCATGAACCTTTTGCCCCAGTATGAAAGAGGCAGCCCTGAGGCTGGGCCTGGTGGCTCATTCCTGTAATCCCAGTGCTTAGGGAGGCTGAGGCAGGAGGTTCACTTGAGGCCAGGAGTTGGAGGCTGCAGTGAGCTATGATGATGCCACTGCACTCACTCAAGCCTGGGTGATAGAGCAACACCCTGTGTCTAATAAAAATATATATATACAGGCCGGGCGCGGTGGCTCACGCCTGTAATCCTAGCACTCTGGGAGGCCGAGGCGGGCGGATTGCTAGAGGTCAGGAGTTCAAAACCAGCCTGAGCAAGAACGAGACCCTGTCTCTACTATAAATGGAAAGAAATTAATTGGCCAACTAATATATATAGAAAAAAATGAGCCGGGCTAATGGTGGCGCATGCCTGTAGTCCCAGCTGCTGGGGAGGCTGAGACAGGATTGGATCGCTTAAGCCCAGGAGTTTGAGGTTGCTGTGAGCTAGGCTGACACCACGGCACTCATTCTAGCCTGGGCAACAAAACGAGACTCTGTCTCAAAAAAAAAAAAAAAAAATATACACACACACACACACACACACACACACACACACACACACATACACATATAGAAAGACGTCCCAGTCAAAACCACAGCCGCAGACCTAGCACCAAACGGCGAGAGACATTCCCACCAGTCAGGAGAAAGGTAATACCCAGGAACAAGAGGGAACTTCCTTAACCAATGAATGGTGTCTACGAAAAACCCACCACTAACATCAGACATGCTGGTGAAATATTAAATTCCCCTTCAACATTGTACTAGAGGTCCTAGGCAGTGCAGTAAGTAAAAAGAAAAAAAAAAAAAAGACTGGAGAACAAGAGATAAAATTAATCACAGATGACATGATTGTATTATACAGAAAATCATAAGCCATCTACAAAAAAAATCACAATAAGTGAATTGAGAGAAGTTGTAAGACAGGTTAGCATGTGAAAAACAAATGTATTTTTAAATTCCAGCAACAAACAATTGGAAAATGAACTCACCATTTTTTAAAAATGCAATTGTAAGAGCATCAAAAGATGAAATGCTAATACATTTAATGATTAAGATGTATATGACCTTACACTGCAAAACCAAAGCTTGCTGAGAGAAATTTTAAAAGACCTACATAAATAGAAAGACACGCCATTGCTGGAAGACAATTCTCTACTGGGTCTCTTGCATTTCTGCACACCTTCCAGAAGACTGATAGCTGCTATTCTGAATTATCTTTTCAAGAATACTCGTAGAGGCCGGGCGCAGTGGCTCAGGCCTATAATCCTAGCACTCTGGCAGGCCAAGGCGGAGGATCGCTCAATGTCGTGAGTTTGAGACCAGCATGGGCAAGAGCGAGACCCCGTCTCTACTAAAAATAGAAAGAAATTAATTGGCCAACTAAAAATATATAGAAAAAATTAGCCGGGCATGGTGGCGCATGCCTGTAGTCCCAGCTACTCGGGAGGCTGAGGCAGGAGGATCCCTTGAGCCCAGGAGATTGAGGTTGCTGTGAGCTAGGCTGACGCCACGGCACTCTAGCCCGGGCAACAGAGTAAGACTCTGGTCTCAAAAAAAAAAAAAAAAAGAATACTTGTAGAGTAAACTGTTTAGAAGACAAGAGGTAGCATCTGTCTTTGGACCAGAGGGCAGGTCTGTTTGCTATCCCGTGTAATGAAGACCACGTGTCCCACCAGGACAAGGGTCAGGTGGCTTTGCTGGCTGCCCATTATAAAATATTGCGGTTCCCCAAGTTCGGGGTTTCTCTGTCCTGACATACACGCACTGCAAGTGCGACATCCGCCTCTGCCGCTGCGTGTTGCCCCTGAAACTCGGGGACAAGCAGAACTGACGTGAACACGAGGCTCACGCTGCTCTCGGCGCCGTGAGTCCCCGACCCAGGACTCTCGTGCCTTCCGTCAGCACCCGTGACACTGTGGCAGGTGAACTTGTCAGCTGGCAAACAGGGTAAAGTCTCAGACGCTTCACAGTTCATGACAGCCGTGTTCGTGCCTTCAAATGTTATGACGTTAATGCTCCCCAAAAGCCGCCCAATCAAGATCTCAGCATTTCCTTTTCTTGTAGAAACTGTCAATTCTAAAAGTTATTCAAAAACTCAATGGGCCTAGAATAGCCAGAGTAACAAAACAGACTTTTTTTTTTTTTTTTTTAAATTTAGAGACAGGATCTCACTGTCATCCAGGCTGGAGTACAAGTGGCACAATGACAGCTCACTGCAGCATGAAACTCCTGGCTCAAGCGATCCTCCTTCCTCAGCCTCCTGAGTAGCTGGGATTTATAGGTGTGCACCACAAGATGGGCATATTTCTTTTCTTTACTTCTTTTTTAGAGACGGGCGGGGGAGGGGGGCCTCAGTATGTTGCCAAGGCTGGTCTTGAACTCCTGGCCTCAAGCAATCATCCCACTTTGGCCTCCCGAAACACTGGGATTATAGATTATAGGCGTGAGCCACCACGCCTGGCCCTGCCAGAATAATCTTGAGAAAGACCGACAGAGCTGGAAGACTTACACTACCTATTCTGCAGACTTACAATAATCAAGACAGTGTAATATTGGGGTAAAGAGAAACAAAGGTCAATGGAACAGGATAAAATCCAAAAATAAATCCATAAGTATTTTAACAAACATATAAACAGGAAAGCAAAGTCTTTTCAGCATATGATCCCAGAAATGGATATCCTTATGAAAATAAATAAATAAAATTAGGTCTGGAGCAGTGGCTCACGCCTGTAATCCCAGCACTATGGGGAGGCCAAGGCGGAAGGATTGGCTTGAGCCCAGGAGATCAAGATCAGCTTGGGCAACAGAGGGAGGCACTGTCCCTACAAAAAAATTAAAAATAAATAAATAAATAAAATAATAATAATAATAATTAGCCAGGCATGGTGGCTCACGCCTGTATTACCAGCTAGCTACTCAGGAGACTAAGGCAGGAGGATTGCTTAAGCCCAGGAGTTCGAGGCTACAGTGAGCTGTGATTGTGCCAGGGTGACAAAGCAAGACCCCATCTCTAAAAATAATAAAAAACTTAAAAAAAAAAAAACCAAAAACTCAATTCACTCCTTACCTTACACCATACACAAAAGTTAATATGAAATGAGTTATCAAGCTAAACATAAACATTAGAAATCTAAAGCTTCTAGAAGAAAACATGAGACTGTCCCCTTAACTAAATAAAAGAGGACAAAGATTTTTTAAGTCACAGAAAGCAATAGCAATAAAACAAAAAAGAATGACAAATTAAATCGCATCGAAATTTAAAATTTCTTATCAAAAGTCATCATTAAAAATATTTTTATGGCCGGGTGCGGTGGCTCACGCCTGTAATCCTAGCACTCTGGGAGGCCGAGGCGGGCGGTTTGCTCAAGGTCAGGAGTTCGAAACCAGCCTGAGCAAGAGCGAGACCCTGTCTCTACTATAAATAGAAAGAAATTAATTGGCCAACTAATATGTATAGAAAAAATTAGCCGGGCATGGTGGCGCATGCCTGTAGTCCCAGCTCCTCGGGAGGCTGAGGCAGGAGGATCGCTTGAGCCCAGGAGTTTGAGGTTGCTGTGAGCTAGGCTGATGCCACAGCACTCACTCTAGCCTGGGCAACAAAGTGAGACTCTGTCTCAAAAAAATATATATATATATTTAAAAATCAGACTTGGAGAAAATTTCACAAAACATACATCTGACAAAGAATCTGTACTCAGAATACATATATATGTAAACTCCCACAACTCAATAATTGAAAGACAAATAACCCCCAATAACAAAGCAGCAGGCAAAAGCCTCAGACTTAACAAAAAAAGATATATCAATGGCCAGGAAACAAATAAAAAGATGCTTAACCTTAATAGTCATCAGGGCAGTGCAAGGAAAAACCACAATGAGATACCACTTCACACCCACTAGAATGGCTAAAACTAAAAAGACTAAAATTACCAACTGTTGGCAAATATGCAGAAAAACCCAACTCTCTTCCATTTCTAGTGGGAGTATAAAATGGTACAACCCATTTGGAACCAGTTCAGCAGTTTCTTATAAAGTTAAACATACACTTTGCCCTACGCCCCAGAAATTCCACTCTTTGGAATTTACTAAAGAGAAATGGAAACATATGTCCACAAAATGAACTCCGCAAGAATGTTCACAGCACAATCTAGTATCTATCAACAGTTAAATGGATAAACAAATTGCGGTATATTCACATAATGGATTCCCTTTCAGTAAGAAAAAGGAGACATGCAACAAAACGGACTTAAATAAAAAAAAAAAAAAAAAAGACATGCTCAGCAAAAAAATCAGTCACAAAACAGTGCATACTATATAAATGCATCTATACGAATTTCTATAACAGACAAAATTAATCTTTAGTGCTAAAAATCAGAATACTAGCTGGATAGGTATGATGGGGGGCATATATGAAAAAGGATGTTTAAAAATAGAAGCTTCTAGGGTGTTTAAAATTTGCTATCTCTTGGTTAGGGGTATGAGTTCTTATAGATAAATGTACACGTTTGCCCAAAATACTTTAACCATATACTTAAGATCTGTACGCTGTACTGTGTGTGTGTGTGTGTGTGTATATATATATATATAAATTGTTCTCAGTTTAAAACAAAAGCAAAAATAGATTGGGAACTTCTTGTGCCAGAGTAAAAAGTGCTCAAGGAAGGATGGGGACACATCGAGAAAGGGCATAAAAGCCACTTGAAGGAACTTTGGTCAAATTTGGGACAATCTGTGCATCAAAAAGAGTAGTGACTTGCACCTGTAATCCTAGCATTCTGGGAGGCTGAGGCGGGAGGATGGCTTTTGCCCAGGAGTTTGAGGCTGCAGCAGTGAGCTACATGATCAAGCCACGGGACTCTAGTCTGGGTGAGGTCCCATCTCCATAAAAAAGGAATTTAGCAGCTCCACCGGCTGCTAGGAGATAAAAACTATGACTTCAAAATGTTAAGGGAAAATTATTTCCAACTTGGGCAATCCATTCCCAAGCAAATATCAGTTAAGTGTTAGTACAGAATAAAGACAGTTTAGACATACCAGAATTCAGAAAATCGACCTCCCAGGAGCCCTTTTCTAGATAGCTGCAGTGAAATGAGTCGGAGACACTTTGGGGTACTTCACAGAACTGATTCTCCCTTCTTCTCCAGGCTGTGTTCAGGATCCAGCCTCCCTCGCAGGGCTGGCTGTGTCTCAGGAAACCCCAACTCACTTCCATACCCGCGGGCGGCCCTCAATTCCTCTTCCCTCACCAGTGTTGGTTCTGACACTCAATCAAATCGCAGCGCGACCCCCAGCCACAGGGACGGGTTCAGGAACGGATGGCTGAGATGACCTGGCCAGTGAAACACACGGAGACAGGCCAGGTGCCTTCTGGAAAAGAAGTTTTCTTACTCCAAGACAGAGCCCAGAAAAGAGGCACCTCTGCTTCTCCAGACGGATGGAAGTGAAGCCTTCAGCTGTCTCGAGCATCTCACCGCCTTGAGAGGAGTGGCCCTAGCGATAAACCCAAACCCAAGGGAAAGCCCGCCAAGCTACTCCCAGGGCCTGAGACCCTAGATCAATCCCAGCCTGAAGCCTGCCCTATCTCTGGGCTCAGTCCCAGTGGACTGAGCCAAAAAATATTCCTAAGAGTTGAAGCCTCCCCAGGGTTTCCCTGTTATCTGCAGATGAAAGTTTCCAGGAAATAGCAGCTGCAACCTGGGAAGCATGCTCGGGAAGGCACAGACGGAGCGCTCCACAGGGGCCTGGAGGGCAGCTGGCTTCCAATGACCAGGGGCCGGGCTCCTGCGGGAACTCGGAATGGCTGATGCAGTGGAAGATGTGAGAGGAAAAAAAACTGCAGATATGACACAGTAAGGCAGCATCAAAAAAAAAAAAAACACATTTTTTTTTTTTTTGAGACAGAGTCTAACTCTATTGCCCAGGCTAGAGTGAGTGCCGTGGCGTCAGCCTAGCTCACAGCAACCTCAAGACTCTGGGCGCTCAAGCATCCTCCTGCTCAGGGCTCACCGAGGTATGTGGGACTACGGCATGCGCAGACCATGCCGGCTAATTCTCCATTTCTATATGATTGATTAGTTGCCAATTAATTCTTTTTATTTTGATAGTCGAGACGTCCGGTCTGCTTCGCTCGGCTGGTTTACACTGTCCTGACCTTGGCAATACCGCCCGGCCTCGGCCTCCCAGAGCTAGGAATTTCAGGGTGAGCCAAAGCGCCCGGCCAAACAAAAACATTTTTAAGGAAAAAAAAAAAAACTCCAGGAGAAGTACAAGAGTGTAGAAAAGGGAGAACGTGATCACAGCAGGGAGTGCTCGGCTCTGAGTGGAAGCAGTATTATGGTACGATTTACAAGCGTAATAACTCAGTTTGCCGAGCTTTAACCGCAAAACCGTATTAGATACCTGAGGACATGGTAAAAAACAGAGAAGCAATGGGAGTGGTGAAGATACCTGTTCCTCATTATCACAGCGAAAACCTTAGAGTGGACACGTTAAATTGATCGCGCCAGAAATATAAGCAGTACGTGGCAGCATTTGGAGATACGAAGGTGGGCTTGTCGCCTCTGGGGAACGAAACCAGGAAAGATTAGAGGTTTGTTGCTACTGCAAAAATAGCTTCTCAGGCTTATCTGATTAAGCACTGTGACCGTTTTGTTTACTTCAATAAAATAAAAAATCGATTAGCACTCTGGGAGGCCGAGGGTGGGGACGGGATGCTGAGGTCAGGAGTTGCGAAAACCAGCCTGAGCAAGGAGCGAGACCCGCTCTACTATAAATACGAAAGAAAGAGTAAGATTGCCAACGTATACAATATATAGAAAGAAAATTAGCGGGCAGTGGTGGTCGCACTGCCTGTAGTCCAGCTACTCGGGAGGCTAGAGGCAGGAGGATTGCTGAGCCAAGGAGATGAGGTTGCTGTGAGCTAGGCTGACGCCATGGCACTCACTCTAGCCTGGGCAACAAAGCGAGACTCTGTCTCAAAAAATAAATAAATAAATAAATAATAAAATCTTAAAATGTGCAAATAAACAAAAGATGTCTGCTTAGAGGGCAAAGGCCTGAAGAACAGTGGGAAAATCAAGAATGAAGATTTATTACGGTGGATGGATTACAGCTACTTGTTTGTTTTATAACTTTGTCTAGGTTAAATTAAAATTAAACAAAAAATTTTCAGACATGGGGCCTTGCTCTGTTACCCAGGCCGGAGTGCAACGGTGTGATCATAGCTCACTGTGGCCTCCAACTCCAGGGCTCGAGGGGTCCTCCCACCTCTCAGCCTCATGGATAGCTGAACTACAGGTGCCTGCCGCCACGATCAGCTCATTTTCCTTATTTTCTTTAGAGATGGGGGTCTCGCTACATTGCCCAGGCTGGTCTTGAACTCCTGGCCTCAAGCAATCCTCCTGCCTCAGCCTCTCAAGGCACTGGGATCACAGGCCGGAACCACTGCGCGCAGGTCTGCAACATGAATAGCTTACGCTATTCATGAATGGGTGAATGGGTGACACCAGTGCTCCACAGCCTTTCCCTACAGCCGCCAGAAGGCCTCTCCACGGCCCCAGGCCCCCCTCCTCGGCCCCAGACGGTCTCCCCAGGGGCCCAGAGGGAAAGAAGCCACAATCCACGTACGTGCACGGGGAGACTGTGACCAGTGTCCCCCACGCCCCAGCCTGGTCCACGCGCCTGGGGCTTGGGCGTTTCAGGGGGACCAGGGCGGCCTCGCGGGCCCCCTTCGCAGAGCCGCCCGGGGGAGAGGGCACCTACCGCAGGAGTCGCAGGTGAAGCAGTCGGTGTGGTACAGGCTCCCCATCGCCTGGCACGCCTGCCGCGCCCCGTAGATGCCAAGGCCACACTTGATGCAGATGCCTGCGCGTGGGGACGGGAGACAGCGGCCGTCAGCGGCCCGCCCCGCGCAGTGGGACGGACGCGATGTCCCCAGCTCCCGGGGAGCCTGCCCACTGCCCCGGCCTCGGGCCAGCGTCACCTGGCCACTAACGGTTACCATGGCAACCACGGGGGGGGGCGCCCACCACTTAGGGACCGATCGCCATGGCAACCATGGGGCACCCATCACTTAGGGACCGATGGCAACTGCTGTTGTAGGGGATTCAAAGAGCTCAGCAGGGTGCCCGGGACAGACTCGCTGTTACCACGACATATTTACGCCTGGACAGCTGCTCTTTTTTTGTTTTTTGTTTTTTTTCCTTCTCAAACACAGTCTATGACTTTCCAACAGAAAGTCCCCCTCGGCTCCTTCACCCGCGACCTACTCTTGGGCCGAGGGAAAAATCCTTTCTCCTGTCTGCGAACCAAATCCTACTGTTCAAAATAAAAATACATATTTTCTAAAACAATAAAAAAAATCATAAAAATAAAAATACACATTTTCTGACCCACATGCAAAGAATGAAGACCATGTACCCCAGGGCGGTCACCTGCCCGCCCCAGCCACTCTTTCCTCATCTGCACCCTGAGGTCACTGATTCTCTCGGTCACCTGCACGCAGGTGCTGAGGGCCTGCCACGCGCCCGCGCCCGCAGGTTGGGGGCGGGAGAATCCCCAATGTCCCCACGTCCCACTCCCCCCCGGAGCCTGCGTCCCAGTGCAGGGGGGCAGACGACAGCAGCTAAATGACACGGCGGGTGGAAACAAGTGCTAAGGAGAAACATAAGGCTGATTAAGAATACGTCCGATGCGCGATGACACAGGGGAATAAGGGGGGGATCTGGGGCCACCCCTGGCTGCACAGCAGGAGGGAGGACAGTGGAGAGGAGAGGGCAGTCCCCGGCCAGCCCTCCTGGAGACCCAGACAGCAGGCAGCCAGTGCTGAGGTCACCTGTCCCCGTCACAGAGTTGCCCAGGGGCTCTCACGCCCCACAGGGCAGGCAGACGGGCTCCACCTGCCCTCTGGACCCTCAGTCTTCTGGCTGCTCCAGCACAGGCTGCCCCTCCCCCTGCCTCCTGCTGCCTACCGGATCTTTCTCCTTGCATGACCTCCTCTCCTGCCTTGAAGACCCCTCCCCGCTGCACCAGCCGCCGTTTCCCCGCTTCCCTCAGGAGGGAGGGGGAGGGGGGAGAGAGAGAGAGAGGAGAGAGAGAGAGGAGAGAGAGAGAGAGCACGCGAGCGAGCGCGGTCCACACTTGGTCATCTCCTAACTGTCCACAGCTGTGGACTTTCCATTCTGGTCATGCAGCAGGTGGCCTGTCCTCACCCCTGTGGTTTCCAGGATACAGGCAGCACCTGGCTCCACTCCCTTCCTAGCTGCCTGTCTCCCTCAGAGACCTCCCAGGCTTCACTCTCCCTGCGGGAGGGAAGGTCGGCTCAGAATGTTCTCAGAATGTTCTCGAAACCAGGCAGGACTATAAACGTGGCCAGGAGGGGACCCAGGTAAAGAGAGGCTCCGTTGCCAGAGGCTGCGGCCACAGCTCGGCCCTGCTGACAGCCGCAGGGTGGGAACACGGGCCCAGCAGCATTACCTGAGAGTCTCGTTTTTAAAGAAAAGCTAGAAGGCCAAGGGCATCTCTACAAAACATAAAAAAATGAGCCAGGCTTGGTGGTGGCTTGGTGGTGGGACCTGTAGTCCCAGCTATTCAGGAGGCCAAGGTGGGAGGATCATCTGAGCCCAGGAGTTTGAGGCTGCAGTGAGCTAGGCTGATGTCACTGCACTCCAGTCTGGGTGACAGAGCAAGACCTTGTCTCTAAAAAAAAAAAAGAAAGAAGTAAGAAAAAGAAAAGCTGGAAATCTAGATGTGCATATGAAATGCTGCCATACTGAAATGTTTTGGAAACTGTGGAGGCCACACAAACCACACCTGCAGGTCTCCGCAGGTGGCGTGGCCCTCCCTGGGCTCCCTGGGCAGTCCCATCCCCTCCTGACTTCTCAGCCTGCTGGGGCTCCAGCCCACACTCTCCCCTGAGTCTCTGATCCACCTCCCCGCTGGCCACCCACCACACCCCCTGCCCAGAACAGAGACAACTTCTCCCTCAGGAAGTGGCACTTTTGCGCACCCAGGTTTGGGGAACATCCAGGTCCACCCTCCCCTCCAGCTCTGACTCTCTGTTCCCTGATCTTGACTCGTTCCATCCTCTCACTCCCACTGGCCTGATACAGAACACGGATTCTCGTGCAAACGGCTGTTGCCCCAATAATCCATCCCTGAACTTGCAGCCAGACCCTTCCTCCCTCCTTCCTTCCTTTTTTTTTTTTTTGAAACAGAGTCTCGCTCTGTCACCCAGGCTGCAGTGCAGTGACATCATCATAGCTCACTGCAACCTCAAACTCCCAGGCTCAAGCGATCCTCCTGCCTCAGCCTCCCGAGTAGCTGGAACTATAGGTGAGTAGCTGGGACTACAAGCTTGCCCCTCCACGCCCAGCTAATTTTTTCTATTTTTTAGTAGAGATGGGGGTCTCACTCTTGCTCAGGCTGGTCTTGAACTCCTGACTTCAATCAATCCTCCTGCCTCAGCCTCCCAGAGTGCTTGGATTGCAGGCAGGTGAGCCACCTGGCCCCGCCCCCACTTGTCTTTCTAAAGGGAAAGTGGTCTACCCTCACACCTTCACTCTTGTCTCTCAGCTTTGAAAATCCAACCTTGTCATCCCCCCCCCCCAAGTTAAGTTACTAGAATAAACGATGAAAAAAATAAAACTCAACCGCCTCTGGGAAACAGGACAAAATGGGGGCGGGAGGGGAAGCTATAAGCTTGTATCACTGGCTTTTTGGTTGAGCTTGGTTTTTCTCTAAATATGTGCTTGCATCCCTTTACTAAAAACACGCTGAAGGAGGAAAATGGGGAGGGCGAGGTACCCCAGAAACGAAGGGAACAGAACGCGTTGAGGGGAGCCCACTCATGCCGCTAGATGCAACAGTGAGATCCGCACAGACAAGGCCTGGAGAACAAGCCACGGGGGCCGGGGTGTCACCAGTGTCCCGTGCAAGAGCCGGGTCAGCCCAGCGAGAGGAGGCAGAGCCGACGGCTGAGGGGACATCGGAGGGTGAGCAGCGAGGACAACCTCAGCAAGACGCTGGGACGGGATGAAGGAGACTGCAGTCGTGCAGGTGGGGGAGTGTTTTCTTTGCCTCGTTCTCGGGGAAGACCCTTCTGGTACATCTTTGCAACCAAAGGAAAAGGGCCGTGGAAAGGGGAAGGCGGAGGGCGGAAGAGGTGCAGGCTGCAGATGGAAGGACCCCTGCCCGCTTAGACGGTGGCAGAGCGAGGCTGGGCAGGGCCACGAGAGCGCCTGCAGGTGGGGACAGGAAGCAGGTGGAGACAGACTGCAACCGCCGGCCTCAGCATTCTGAGCCAAGTAGAAAGCAAAGCTAGGGGTCGAAGGGAGAGGAAGAGGAAGGCTGCTGGGGGGATGACAGAGAGAACTGACCAAGGCTCAGGGGGCCGGCTGGTGCCCAGAAGACCACCGAGGCTGAAGACCGCGCCAATGCCCTGGTCCCTCCCAGCCCGGCACGGGCAGCAGCAGAGCGGGGCTGCGACACCCACCCATAGTCGGGGTTCTGCCATTCCAGGGTCACAGAAGAGGTGAGAGGCAGGCCAGAGTCACAACCAAAGCCTGCCGAAGTGAAGCAAAAATAGGGTGTGGCCCTGGCAGTGGGTGGCTGACGAGAAGGCAGGGAGGTCACCAAAGTTATAGAGGTTCCTTCCGGACACCTGAGGCTGCTGGCCCAGGCCAGCGGAGGCAGCGGAAACTGGGCAGAAGAGAAAGTTCCAAAGACATCAATGAATGGCAGAGAGGGACAAAAGGTCAGCTGGTACCAGGGCCAAGGGGAGGAAGGGATGACAGATGGCACAGAGAGAAAAAACACACTCCCAGGATAAGGTTCATCAGAGATCTCTTGAGCTCAGGATACCTGCAAACTCCCCCTTTTCAACTTTTATTATTCCGGCTGAACTATATAAAATTGCTACTTCCAAGCTTGAAAAACTCAATTATCAGAACCATATAGCTCCAGAAAATAGCTGCCCATGTTTTTAAAAACCAGGAAAATGTTAAATAAATCTCCATTTCTGGCTTCTCTTGCAAACAACAAAGCTCAGTCTCCGCTCCCCGCACACTCCCGAGTGGCCAATGTCCCAGAGCTGAGCAGCGGCTCCTCTTTCGAAAAAGGACCCACCACCCCTACCGTCTCATAGCATCAGCACATCACCTGCCGGGGACAACGGCCACCCCAGTGTCACATAAAGACTTACGAGTGTCCAGGAAGGCCGATAGAGCATGCGGCACCTCACCCAGGCCCTGCAGTTGAGCAGGGGACAGAAAATGGGCAGTGTCCCCTGAAGACACCACCGGAAAGCATTCTCTCCCGAAGCCACCCCAGCTCCTGCTGCTGGCACCTGCCTGGCACCAGACGAAACAGCTCCTAACGCACCTAAGCGAGCCCAGGCCATCGATAGCAGCCACAAGACCTGCCAAACCACCACTTCTCACCCTGACCTCCAGGACAGGATGCGGTCCCCATGCCAAAGGCAGGCCAACCTTTTAGCCCACGTGCCCTTGACCCCCTGACCCCTCCTGGCTGCAAGCCCTGGGGGCACGCGCAGATCACCCTGACATCCTTACTTGTCTCCTGCTGACGTTGTCCCCTCTGCCTGGAATGCCCCATCTGTCCCGGCAGGTACAGCCCCCTCACCCCTCCAGGGCAGTCTGGGCTGCTGGCTGGACTCAATACCTGGGCAGCCTCAGTCCCAGGCACGAAAACCAGACGAAAACCAGACACGGCCCTCCAAAGCCAGGTGCTCAGCAGGAAGGGAGGGAGGGGCGTTCTGTCCCCAGGCCCCACCGAACTCCTGCCCCTGCTCAGAGCCTCACCCTAAGAGCCCTCAAGGGATGGGGAGAGGGGACAGGGCCTGTCTGACACAGGTGGGTCTGCAAGTGCGTGTGAAGCCAGTTTTTTAGGAAACCTCCCGTGTACACAGCACGGCCCAGAGCGATGGCAGCCCAGAGTGACTGTGGGGGGGTCTCCGTCACACACTCTCCACCTCCGGCCACCCACCCCCAAAGCCTCGGGTCCGGCGGGGTCGGATGGTACCTGAGCCACTCACTCCACCCCCAGTTCCCGTCCACACCCGTACTTCTGGGGGCGGGGCACCGGGAATGGGGTGGCGGCGGCCTGGGGGGGAGGTCCCTTCTGCTGATCACGCAGCATCCGAGGGTCAGGCAGGGTCAGCAGAGGCAAGTGCGGAGAGCTAAGACGTTACCTGCAAATGGCTCACTCTCCCTCCCTACCGACCTGACTCTTCTCTAAGTTAGGGGTACGGCGTCAGCTCCCGCCAGCGCGCGGGGACCCGGAGGCGACGTTCCCGTGTCGGAAGCAAACCCCAGACCCGGCGGTCCACACTCGCGGCCCCGCAGCCCCCCGGCGACGCGGCTTCCCCGCCGGCGCCGGCCGCGCCCGCTCACCGAAGTAGTCCCGCGCGGCGCGCGCCTCGAGCGCGCGCTCCAGCTCCCGGGTGAGCGCCTCCAGCCGCCGCTCGGCCGCGGCTCGCCCGCCGTCCCGGCCCGCGGCGAGCGGCAGCGCGGCAGGGCGAAGGGCGCGGGCCGGCGGCTCCGGGAGCGGCGGGCGCGGGCAGGCGCCGGCGCCAGCAGGTCGGCGTAGGCGCCGGCCGAGCCGCGGGAGCCGAGGCTGGACACGCTGGAGCGCGCGCTGCCCGCCGACGGGCGCCCGGCCGGGGCCGGGCGCGGGTCCGGGCGGCCGGGGCGCGGGCTGCCGTGGCGCTGGTCGTAGCCCAGGCTGATGCCGCTGGAGCGGGCGCTGCCGCCGCCGCCGCCGCCGTCGGAGCCCGCCAGGCTGGCGCGCGGGCTGCTGGCCGGCGGCGCGCCCAGCTCGGGGGCCCCGCGCGCGCGGGCCGCGCTCCCGCCGGCTCGGCGCGTCCGGCCCGGCCTCGGGCCGCCGCCGCCCTTGCCTCTGCGGCCGGCGCCGGCGCCGCTCGTCGCCCGGCCCAGGCCGCGGCCCCGCCGGCCCCGGCCGGAGAGTCGCCGGCCGCCTCCAGCTCCCGCAGGGCCAGCCCGGCCAGGAGCAGGGCCGCCTCGTCCGCGGCCGCCCGGGAGCGCTGCATGGCCCGGCCCGCCGGCCCGGCGCGTCACCTCCGCCTCCACTTCCCGCCGCCGCTCCGGCCGCGCCGCCGCATCGTCCGCCCGGAGCCCGGAGCCCGCCCCGGGACCTCTGGGCGCGGGGCGGGCCGCTGCGGGCCGGGGTCGCTCGTCCGGCCGCGCGCGGCCGGGGCACGGCGGCGCGCTCGGTGGCGCGCGCGGCGGAGGAATGTGCGCTCGCGGCGCCGGCCGCGCCCCCTCGCCCCGCGGCCGCGCGGGGGGCGGAGGGACTCCTTTGCGGGGGCAGGAATGCGAGGAAGGAGACGGCGCTGCGGCCGCTGGAATGTGGGGGGAGTGGCGGGCCGCGGGGGCCGCGCTGCGCCCGAGCCGGAGGGGCGCGGAGGCTGCGCCGGGACGCCGCGGCGCGGGCGGGCTGGGGCCAGCCTGGGGTCCCGCCGGGAGAGCCCGGGGCCCGCTGCGCTCCCGCTCCCGAGCCGTCGGGCCTGCGGAAAGATCCCGGATTCCGGCGGGGAGAGCTGGAGGCGGCTCCCCAGTCCCGGCCAGAAAAGTCCGAGGAGACGGACGTTTCCCACGTCCTCCCCCCTGGACTTCCCAGCGCCGCCTGTCTCAGTTTCTGGGCCGGCCAGGCGTGCTCAGCCTCGCACGGACGGCGCTGCGCCCCGGAGCACACGGTGTGCCTCGCACAGATGCGTCCTCGGGACCTCGAGTGACCCCACGACCCCCCACCCAACCCGGGGCCATGTGGCCGAGCACTGGCCTCAAAGCCCCCCCCTGGCTGGTGGGGAGGGTGCCTAGAGCTGGGACCAGCGTTGGCCGGGGACTGTCCTCGCGCTGGGCCACTATGCGCAGGCCCTCAGGGCCAGACCAGGCAGGAAGCAGGCCGTGCTCAGCTGTGGCCCGGAGTTTCGAGCCAGGCGTCCAGGGGGTGCTCCTGAAAGCACCTTGCCGCCACCGGTCCTGGGATGCGTGGAGAGGACCAGAAGTGATGAGGGCTTTGTCCCCAAGAACACAAGTGGTAGGGAGGAAAACCAAACCAAACCAAATCTGTCACGGCATGATGGATCCAGGAAAACAGTCTTGTGTGGAAGGGCACACAAGGCACCCCTTACGCAGGCACCCCTTACGCAGAGATTTTCGGGCCGTGCCTAAGGTTGGTCAGAGGGCAAGGAGCCCACGTGGGGAATGGTCTTGGCCCAGCCTGGCTGTGGCACATTGACCCCAGCACCTCCCAGAGCTCGCGGAATGCCCGCCCTGCCCGACTAGGCCCAGGGCCTGGGAGCAAGCACTTTGCGGGGCCAATATCCAGGGGAGCCACTCCATGAAAAATTGGCTACCTCTCTAGTGAGAAAGGAAAAGCAAATTAAATCAATCGCATCACATTTCACTGTTACATTATCTACCATTTTAAAATGAGAGTACTGTCAGGTCTGTGGTGAAACAATCGCACACACGCTACTGGTGTGCACGAGTGTAAGCTGGGCTGTCCTTTTGGGAAGAGAGATTTAGTGCATCAACATTCTCACAAATATAAACACTCTTACGAGCAGTAATAATGCTCCTTCTAAGAATCTATTCGAGCAAGGGAAGTCATCTAAAATGCAGACAATAACTTAGGCACAACAGTGTTGAACACGTTATTTACGTAAACTATACTGTCCTGGGACCTCCCACCTTCCGAAAAGGAGCTCAGAGGGAGCTCTCTGCCTTTAAAGGCAGTTATTTAATGTTAAATAACTGTTCTATCCCTACCCGCCCACTTAGAACTTTCAAGATTTAAACATTAGTGTAACCAGCTCCATGAACCCGTACATGTTTTTTAATAATCCTGTCCCTTAACTAACTACTTGACCCTTTGAGTTGTTTACCAAGGTGCTGGGATTGTAAATGTGAGCCACCACACCAGCCAGGAAATGGTGGATTTTCTACAAGATGCCAAGATTCACCCTTTCTCACAGCCAGCCCCCAGTGCATGTAACCCCTTGTAAGATACACCAGGACCTGCCCCACGGCACATGGCCCTCCTTTAAAAGCCCATGATAAGGCCAGGCACGGTGGCTCACGCCTGTAATCCTAGCTCTCTGGGAGGCCGAGGCGGGCGGATTGCTCGAGGTCAGGAGTTCGAAACCAGCCTGAGCAAGAGCGAGACCCCCGTCTCTACTATAAATAGAAAGAAATTAATTGGCCAACTAATATATACAAAAAAAATTAGCCGGGCGTGGTGGCGAATGCCTGTAGTCCCAGCTACTTGGGAGGCTGAGGCAGGAGGATTGCTTGAGCCAGGAGTTTGAGGTTGCTGTGAGCTAGGCTGACGCCACGGCACTCACTCTAGCCTGGGCAACAGAGTGAGACTCTGAAAAAAAAAAAAAAAAAAAAAAAAAGCCCATGATATCCCTTAGAGACAGAGTTGAGACAGCTTCTCCCATTCTCCCAAGCCCTCGGTCCCTTCTTCCTTGGCAATCCGCCTTGTCTCGGTGATTAGATCTTTGTGCAACAAGCAACTGGATCTAGACTGAAGAAATCCCCTTGTGGTTTTGGCAACCATAGCGTCCAGGGTCCGCTAAAACCCACGACTCCAAGAGTAACACATGAACAACAACAAAGCCCAGAAACAACATAAAATGTTTAATGTTCAACATTAGAATAAAGTACTGTGATGTGGGAAATTCATTAAACAATTATTTATAAATATATTCAAAATAATTTAATGATGTGGGAATCAGTATCATTGCAATGTTAAGTGGATACAAAACAGTATTCAAAACTGTGGGGTCTCATCTGTACATTGCCTGACTGTTCCCCAGACTCCATCTTACTCTGTGTCTTCCCTAAAGGCACATTGAGTGGTCTCGGTAGACTGGCTCGTTCTGACAGCCACGTTGGAGGAGGAGAGGGACAGGGGCTAGCTCATGGGGTTTGAAGCATTGTCCACGGACCACTGCCCAGCCTCCACTGATGCCCTCTCTGGCCTCCACTATTGTAGGAATGTTCCTTTGTTCACCTCTCTCTGGCCATTTTCTTCCTGGGCCTGGTAGTGTGCTGGCAAATGTTTAACAACCAGCTTTGGGGGAAGGAATTGTAGCCTTTGCCAATGACCATGGTGTCAATACTCCAGCCATGGCCAATTTCATATTACCAATATGGGGTCACTTTCCAAGTTGGGAAGAGATGGGCATATGAGTTCTCACGAGCAAGGATAAAGAGGCTTTGGTACCTCACTGCCTGAGTCCCACTGTTGGAGAAAGGAGGGATTTCACAACAGAATTGCTGGGATTTCTGGTTTATCATTCTCTCAAGTTAACCAGAGTCTCCATTCTTTAGGCAAATGGACACACTCAGTAAGGCTACAACAGGACATGTTCAGTCTGGTCTCATACCATGTCCTGAACCACCATCTTCTTCTGAGGACCCAGGGACTGATTCTACCCAGCCTCTGTCCACACTACGGTGAGGTTTTTAGGGCTCTTCCCATTGTCCTTCTTTGTAATCTAGCTCCTACCACCCATTATCTGTCTGGACCCCAATTATGGACACAATTCAGAGGTTTTTCTATAGACTCTTGCGCCCCATGTCAATCACTGTGGCTGGATCACTCTGGTTGAGTCAAGGGGAGGGCATGCAGCCAAAATGCACATGGAGAAGTTGCTGGAATCCACATTCTTTCTGTCCCCTCAGCCTGCAGGTTTTCACCCTTACAGATTTCTTCTGGGAGAGCAGCACCAATCTCTCACCTACAGCATAACTGTATTTGTCTCCCAGTTCAGCTCCTCGGGGCCAGGCCTCGAATCCACACAGCACTGGGCTCAAGGTGCATGGTCTGTCCAATATACTTGGAGTTTTCTTTGGGTGTACTCAAGGTTTTTCCATCTCTCTCTGCCTTCTTCTCTGAGGCCGCACTCTTTCTACCAGATTGAGCCTAACCTCAACTTTCCCTGGTCCTGCTAACCTCCTTAGGCCTCTCTGGAGGCACAAGAAGATTCAAAGCATTGACAGGCCATCCATGGATTGGTTTCCCAATCTAAGAATTGGGGTTAAGATATGATACCTGCAGCTGCTTATTTTATCAAGGAGCAAGAGGACACCTGTTCTTTGATTGAAACCTTGCCATGCACTCGGGAATGGGGATTTCCTCTCAAATTTTGTACCATGGTAAAAACCCCAGCCATGGGAAATTGGAATTTCCTCCCAATTTTGTACCATGGTAAAAACCCCTTCCTGGGGAGGACCTATCTGGGGATGCACAGACTGGCGAGCTCTTGGTATTACGTATTTGGGCATGACTTTCAGAGCTCCTGGAAGCTGCCACTGGGACCGCCTGGTCAGGCTGCCTCTCAGGTTGGCAGCACAACAGGATGTGGGTGCTCAGATCCCCAACCGACCCCTTACTGCTGCCATAATAATATGAGAAGTTGGGTTTCCATGCACACCAGTCCTTAGTGTCTTCCTGCTTTCAAAGGTTTCACCCAGGTTGACATTTTCCACTGAGCGCAGCACAGAGTGGAGTAGGAATGCAATTCATGTTTATAGGATGATGGAATGGCATATTGTGCACGAGACCTACATTTCCTGAGATGAAACTGTTCAAAGATTTCTAAAGTACAAATCCTGAGTACCTTCTGGAGCACTGTACATTCTCCTAAAATATTTGCTCAGAACCTTTTTTGATCTAGTGAGTCATCACTGATTGCCAGACTTATTATTATAATAAAATTTTTAAGGCTGGCATGAGTAAGAGACACTTAGCAACACTTCTAAAATGTTACTTTACCCGGAAATAATTGTCTGCAAAATATAATCCAACTGCACAGCAGCACTATGGCCCTTATCGTTCCACTCAGTTGACTTTTTTTTTTTTTTCCAGCAAAAGCAGTTCAAAAATTTCTCAAATAAGCTTTGGGCTGGAATTTGTTTTGAAGTGAATGTAGGGGAAAAATGTTCCTTCTGTGAGCAGAATGCAAATAATGTTTTCCCACTACGAAAGTATCTATAAAAATACTTCTCTAAATAT